AGCCTGTAAGAAAGGCCCTTATATTTCCTTGGGTCAAATGCCTATCTTTCCTTGAATGAGGCATTTCACTGGTGGAGGGGAGAGCGGATGGTGTTTGTAGAATTATGATTGGAGATGATTGAAATAGTCTGGCCAGTTTGAGTACCATGCGTAGTAGAGTATACTGTGAATGACAGTTCATCAGTAGCATGTAGAGAAGGGGTAGGAGATATCTCCCCAGAGAATTAGAGAGAGAAAAGAGGCAGGGCACTCAGAAAAAGGGTTGCAAGGCATAATGCAGCACATGTCTACTTGGTCATTTAATATTACTTTAAAATAAATGTATAAGTTGGAGAATAAAAACATTCATGTGTTTGAATGACATCATTACTCACTGAATAAAGGCGTTAGGTTGATGTTTTATTCCCTTCTGCTTGATTTTCGAACAACTTTATCAAAGACATTGATACTCACGTTTACTTTGACTTCTTATACAAGGGAAGGCCAAAAGGAATCTTTAGGAAATTGAAAAGTTTGCTTAATTATTGCATTGCTAATACTTTATCATGGGGGCACTATATATTCATTTTGGACTTTGTACTAGGTCTGATATATGTGTATATACAATATCAAAGATTAGCATACCTATAACAGATCATGTAAGAATTAAAAGTAGAATAAAAACATGACAGTTAATATGTATGGCCCAGTTGTATATTGCTACTTTTAAAGTAACACAATTAAGAGTGGAAACCTTACTTTTCTAAGGATGGAGTTGTTCTAGCTTCCAGGACTCTGGTAGTGAAGTTAGGTAATCATGTTACTAGTGCTCATTTCTTCTGCAAATGACAAAATTGGAATCATTTCACAGTTTTTTAGTATAATGAGAAATACTTCTGTAAAATTTCAAGTAAAGAAGGAAAATCAATTATAAGCAGAAGGTACCCAAGAATATCTTAACTATATTTACACTATTAAGGGTCCAGAAGGTAAAATATGTAAGGCCTGCAATATATTGAAGTATTGTAAATGTTTATTATTTAAAAATCCAAGTTTAAAATTGGGTATGTGAGAGGTTTAGTTACTTTACATTTCAAATGTAATACTGTGTAGAAGGACTTGTTTTTTGTTGTTGTTGTTTTTTTAAGACAAAGCCCTGGATTTTGAGCAAATCAGTTTCGGGTTAGGAATACCATATTTCAAATGGATAATGTGCTCCTGTGCATAATGTGCACCCACGTTTTTGTGTGCATTATACATGGGATTACTATACCCATGGCATGTAATCATTATACCCATGTATAATGCACATCCTTATTTTCCCTCAAAAATTTGGGCAAAAAATGCGCATTATACATGGCAAAGTACCGTACTTGTTCAAAAGGAAAAGAGTAAGACATACTTCTTTTGTAGAAGGAAATACCAATTAGGATTTAAAAAGAATAATACTAGCTGCCAGTTTCACCTTTGTCCAAAGGAATAAAGATTATTAGAATACACTTGTAGGAACAGATTTGTGTATTCATATACCAATATAAAATGGTCAAGGAGCTTTGATAAAAGTAATATATCTACATGTATGCCTCACTTTATTACATGAAGGCTTTCTTGGTAAAAATATGTTAATCTGACCAGTGATATTCTGGTTGCTTTTCAGAGTGGCATCTTAAACATAAATGATAAAGTTTTGCTGCATTACATCCTGGGGAAAAAAGGGAGTGTGTGAGTGTGTTCATTCATGTTTGTTTCCACACACGTGTTTTAGTTGGTTTTTAGTAGGTTATAGGTTTACACTTGCTGTGATTCCTCTTCTATTAAAATACTCTTTATTTGACCAGTAGAATAAAGAAAACATGTTATAATTCTACAAAAATCCTGTAGTTTTGTATAGTTTTAAAGTTTTCTTCTTCTTCTTTTTTTTTTGCTATACAGATACATTGCTTAAAGGTTTCTAAATAAACCAATAAAGCAAAATTGTAACACTTTGCCAGAAATATATTGAACATGTAATACACTGTTTTGCTTCAGAATAAGCTTAGGAATTGTGTAGTTATGCACCTCTAAGCAAGGCAGTTAATATTTTTGTGTCTGAAAAAAAGAATTATCATAACTTTATACCTAGAAATGCTTTTTTGAAAAACTCCATAACCAATCTAAAACTTTAAGATAGTATATTCTAGCATCATTAGTTTGCTGAATGTCCAAAAAAGAATGTTAAAGTTTTTCACACTTTCTGGGAAGCACTTCATATACCAAACTTTTTTAGTTTCAACTTGCCTTTTCCCCAGAATTTATATAGTTCTTCCAAGAAAGAATTCACTTGACTTGTTTAGATATCCCGATAAGTTTCTACCAGGCTTAACAATATGTGAGGTTTTCCCCTGTTCTGGTTTTTGGAGCAAAGTATGTAAAAGCAAGTTTTGTCTGTCTTCCGGGTCTCAGGTAATGTTACAAATAGTGATACCTCTTTTCCACTAGAGAGCATTCATTGTATGTAGCAGCTCCTTTACCATGGGATTGCCTTTGAGACATAATGTTTGGGATTATCTCTCCTAGTTTATCAGGCTAGATGATGTAAATGTCAATTAGCCTAATAGTCATTTTACATTTTGGTATGAATATGACATCAGTTATAAATATTTTTCTGTTTAACTCTGTTGTTTGGTTCTGCTCTGCCTTATTTCTCTGAAACTTTACATCATTCTATTTAACACCAACGATGGATAAAGAGTTCATGCACATACGCAAAGAAATACCATACCATACCACTCCACAGTAAAAAGGAATGGACTAATATGAACAACAACAACATGAATTTATCTCCAAAACACTATGTGATTTCATTTATATGAAATTTTAGAATAGACAGTAGCAGCAAAATAGCGGATCATTGGTTGCCAAGGGCCTGATGTGATGGAGAGATTAACTGAAAGGGGCATGAAGGAACGTTTTAGAGGAATGGAAATGTTCTATGTCTTGATTGTTGTGTTGTTTATATGGGTGAATACATTGGCCAAACTCATTGAACCCATGCACCTAAAATGAGTGCCTTTTGTCATATTGAAAATTGTAAGTTGTTTAAAAGAAAGTTAAACCCCAAAGTCTAAAATAAAATAGGTCATGAGTAATGAAATGTAAAAAAGTTTGGCCAAAAAGTATACTGTCAACCTCAAATTAACAAAAGAGCAGTAGTCCACAATCCATTGAGTATTTTATTTTTAATGTCGCTGAATAGATGTAATTTGTGCTGGTGTCTATTACTGTATCATGGCATGTGTAAAAACACTTTGGTATTACATGAGCTAAGTCAGAAAGTAATACAAAGGTTTTTAAGGTGCTTTATAAATGAAAGCACTTTGGTTTTGGCAGTGTTTCAATGTAATATGCACTCACATTTAGAGAGTTTTTCTCCCTATAAAAATTGTGCATTTTTTCATCTGTTACAACTAGTCATACAATTGATCGGTATAATTGAATATTTTCTTAAATATTAAAAATAATTTCTGAATTTTTTAAGCATTAAAAAATAGTGATTCTAAATACCTGAATGTATTAAGCTACCTTTATAATCTGTTCAAATGTCATGTCCAGTGAAGGTGACTGGAAAAAGATAAAACAGTATAGGATATCAGGCATAGATTTGTGATCACATCAAATAATTCTGGTGATAGCTGTATTGAAAATCAACCTAAAAATAAAATTTAAACTTAAACCCTTGGGCCAATCTTCTTTACCCACCAAAAGTTTTATTCTTTCAACTTCATGCTAGTTTGAGGAGTGTAGATCATCTTTCACAAAAGCTAATTTTGGGGGGTGGGAGGTGCCTAAAAGGTATGGTTTAGATTTTCTAAATGGTAATGCCTACCTGAACATAAATTTTGTCTTTATAGTTTCTCTTTTGTCATTGAAGATTCTTGAAAGCTTGGTTTTCACTTGACAGCTTTTATTATATGTGATATAAGTACCATCCCAAGTTGAATGAACTGAAGTTTTAAATTAAGAGTCTAAAAGGTCAGGAAGATTTAGAATCCTCTTTACTACCTCTTTCCTAGACCCTTTACTGGTGTTCTTAACAAAATCAAGAGTAAAGAACTTATCTTTCTACTTTTATATCAGTGAAGTGGTCAAAAATTAAAGCTTCCTGGGATCTGGATGACTGTTATTATATAATTAGTCTGAAAAGTTAACATCTATATCAGATGATGCCACAGTTCTACTGGAAATCTGCTTATTGACTTTTCAGGCTATTCAGTGTTGGAGGTCTTTTTTTAGATAGAACACATTGCCCAGTATGTCCTCATATATGGTAACATTGTTGGGGGGAGGGTAAAGGATGCTCTGATGGCTTCCCTGTTGTTCATAAAGTAGTAATAAACTTCATACCTTTTTAGAATTTGTTACCTCTGTAATGACATATGTTAACTTCCAGAATAACATGTAAAGTGTCCCCCCCCCAATTATACAGTATTCTATAAATCAGACATTCTAATAACCTTAATTTAGTTTACATATTCCTTGCTGATGGGGCAGTGCAAAGAAAAGAAAGTGTTTTGTTCTCTCACAGCATTATTGATGAACCATACGTAACCTAGGTGAAGTGAGACAGTGAAAGAGTAATGTAATAAAGTAGTAAATGGTATTTAGTAAAGTTCCCAAATACATAGTATATACAAAAAGCAATCTGTTAACTTTAGTTAGTGGACAAAAGTAGTGGAAGAGTACAGATGTAGGAACTTTTAAAGGGGATGGTTAGAGAGAAGAGGGATTGTTATTCGTGGTCAGGGTTGGGCCAAAATGAGAAGATATATCAAGTGTGAATGCCATGTACCATAGTAACTTGGCTAGTACGGTGAGGCTAAGTAAAGACAAACTCTGGCAGTAAACCTAGCAGACTACTACAGAGGCCGTCCATGGAAAGTCTGTGGGCTTTGGACCAGGATGATGACCTGAAGAATTCTGTAAGTTTTCATTTAAGATAATTTTTCTTGTTAACATTTTACTTTTGCATTTCCCATGTATAGGTTTAAGAAAATCTACCAAGAAGCGCAGTGAATCTCCGCCTGCCGAGCTCCCCAGTTTGAGGCGGAGCACACGCCAAAAGACCACGGGCTCCTGTGCTAGCGCCAGGTAATGACTTGGGTGTTTCCAGTGTATGATTACTTCATTATCTGTGTTCAGCTTCCCTTTAAATCATTAACTTTTTAAGTTTTTAAAAATGTTTTCACTTGAATATTGAATAAAGAAATTTATTTTACTATAGCTATTACTATTTTCATGAATTTTTCTCCAGTATTTATTTACATGTTTTTGCAAAGTTAATTATAATCGTTTTTGGATAACTCTTTTATCCTTTACCTTTTTCCGTTGTTGCTACATTATTTTTAGAGACATTGCCAAATAGCAGGACATCTGATTGTTTTCGGAGTTCAGTTTACCAAATAAATCTCTAATGAGCATCTTTAAGCAGATTTGAGTTAATTTTAAAGGTAGTGTGATGAATGGATCAAAAGGGACGCCTGTTCTAATGGCTGTGATGTTGCCTAATTAGTTCCTAAATGCGTTGTCACCGGTTACTGAGTTTAATGGATGAGTGGGAGAGATGTACTTAATCTTGATTTTGCATTACAACACCTACCCTTTAAGGAAAAATGTAGGTTTTGTTTGTATTCTTTTACATCTCTAACTCCCATTTTTTCCAGTTGCTATTTTGAAGCTCATTTTCAGAAAACCAGCTACCTTTTATGTGATAGCATATTGTTTAATCATATTCACATACTTTTTGATTGGGAATCTTAGGTTAATGTTAAAAATCTTTTTTTCTGGCAATTTCATTCCCATATTTTTAAGTTTGGTCGTTAGTCGATCAAGTGCTGTTGTGCTGTTAACTATTCACAGCCTCATAAGATTTTTCTTAAATTTACCTGTAGTTTGTTCTCTCTACTAAATGTGCCAGGAACCAGTAGTGGGATGAATGATTTTAGTTTGCCTTTTCTCTTTTCTATCTCATGTTGGTGGAAAGGTTTTAGCAATCAGCTTTTGCTACTTTTGGCAGTGGGTACAATAGAGACATGAGGAAACAGTATGGCTTGGTGCCTGAAAGTCAAAAGAAAGGACCTTGAACCACTTTAATCTCTGCTTTTCCATTTATTTCTTAGTTCTGTCTGGATTGTTTAAAATATCTGGACTTAGTACACCTGTTTGCTTTTGAGGTTTCTTGACAGTACAGGCAGACCTCATTTTATTGTGTTTCTGTTGCACTTCATAGATACTGTGTTTTTACAAATTGAAGTTAGGACCCTCTACCAGTTGTAAAAAGATTACAACTCGCTAAAGTCTCATAGCAGTTAGCATTTTTTTAAGCACTAAAGTATTTTTTTAAAATGTATTTTATCGATTATGCTATTACATAAAATTGGGAAAGTTGTCCCAATTTTCCTCCCTTTGCCCTCCTCTGCCTGGTACCCCAATTCCCTCCAGCACTCCCTCCAGCCCCAAGTTCTTTGGCTTCTCTGGTACCTACCAGTTATGCTTCTTAATCCTTGCATGTTTTCCTCCACCTGTGCCTTCCTCCTCCCCCCAGCTGATAACCCTCCAGATGACCTCAATTTCTATGAGTCTGCTCCTCTTCTGTTTGTTTGCTTAGTTTGTTTTTTTAAGATTAATTTGTTGATAGTTGTGAATTTGTTGCTGTTTTAATGTTCGTAGTTTCCATCTTCTTTTTCTTTCTTTTTTTTCCTTTCTCTCCTTTTTCTTAAATAAGTCCCTTTAACATTTCATGTAATAATGGCTTGGTGATGATGAACTCTTTTAGCTTTTCCTTGTCTGGGAAGCACTTTATCTGCCCTTCCATTCTAAATGATAGCTTTGCTGGGTAGAGCAATCTTGGTTGTAGGTCTCAGCTTCTCATGACTTTGAATATTTCCGCCAGTCCCTTCTAGCTTTCAAAGTTTCTTTTGAGAAATCAGCTGACAGTCTTACGGAAACTCCCCTGTAAGTAAATAACTGCTTTTCAAATTTTCTCTTTATCTTTAACCTTTGGCATTTTAATTATTATGTGTCTTGGTGTAGTCCTCTTTGGTTCCAGCTTGTTTGGAACTTTCTGTGCTTCCTGGATTTGCATGTCTATTTCCTTCATCAAATTAGGGACGTTTTCTTTCATTATTGTTTTAAATAAGTCTTCAATTTCTTGCTCTTTCTCTTCTCCTTCTGGTCCCCCTGTGATTTGGATGTTGGTACACTTGGAGATGTCCCAGATGCTCCCTGTAATGTCCTTGTTTTTTTTTAATTCTTTTTTCTTCTTGCTGTTCTGGTTGAGTGCTTATTTTTTCCTTATGTTCCAAATTGTTGATATGAATCTGGCTTCATCCCCTCCACTGTTGAATCCATGTAGATTTTTCTTTATTTCATTTAGTGTAACCTTAATTTCTTCCTGGTTCTTTTTTATTTTTTGCCATACTCACTGAGTTCTTTGAGCATCCTGATCACCAGAGTTTTGAACTCTGCATCTGATAGGTTATCTTCATTTTGTTTTTCTGGGGTTTTGTTCTGTTCTTTCATTGAGGCCATGTTTCTTTGTCTCCTCAATTTGGCAGTCTCCCTGTGTTTGTTTCTGTGTTATTAGGTAGAGCTGCTTCAACTCCCTGTCTTAGTAGAATGGCCTATTGTAGAAAAGGCACCTGTCTGGATGAATGTGGCTCTTTAAATCCTTGGTTGTCAAACTTCCATACAGCTCAATTTTCTGACAGTTCCGGGTGTTAATTTGTTTTGGGGTCTAGCTGTAATTCTTTTTGTGGTTGCACAAGGAGGCAAAGCATGTTTATCTATGTCTCCATCTTGACTGGAAGTCCTCCCTCAAAATGCTTCTGATTAACCTCCTCTAACATGCAGCCTGCTCCATGTGGTGTCTGAGATCACTCATCACTTACTGTTCACAATAAACTTTTTAAATTAAGATTATATTGTTTTCTTAGACATAATGCTCCTGCACACTTAATAGTCAGCAGTATAGTGTAAACATAACTGTTATATGTACAGGGAAACCAAAAATTGATGGGACTTGGTTCATTGCAACATTTGCTTTTTGTGTGGCGGTCTGGAATCAAACCCACAGTATCTCTAAAGTGTGCCCGTACTTTTTATGAGGACCTCTGACAGCCTTTCTTAGTTCTTCAGAGCTTTTGTCCTAATTCGGGCCAAATGTTGAGTCCATTTTACCCAGGGTTTCTAATCCGAGACATGAACTGAATTTACTGTGGTATGCGAAGTCAGGCAGTCTAGTGTCTTTTCTTTTTCTGCAGCCGCTTCTTCTGCTTATGGTCACTTGTTTAGTGCATGTGTATTACTTACACTTCGACACGGTCATGCTGTGCCGGAGTTATGTAGTCACCTGCCTAGAATGCTCTTCATCTTACACTTTTTCATAATTAGTTGAGATTCCTCAACTAATTGTTTTTTAGTCTACTATAGCCATGTCCTTTTCTCTGTTTAGACTGATACTTCTTGAGGGCAGCAACCAGAGTGTTGAGCAGTGTGTATCATGTGCTTGGTGCAAAATAAATGTTAAATAAATGAATTAATTTGAATCCCACTAATTTGTAGCATGGCAAATTGTGTTTGGAATGAGCTGTTTCACTGTGAAAGAAAGATTAAATAAATTCCTGTTTAGGGTGGATGTTTTTACTGATTGGAGGAGCAAACTCTTCTAATACTCTTTGGTAACTCAGAGAGCCTCATTTACATGTCTGCTCTTCTTTCTTGTTCTTTACTGGGCAGCATCTAATTTCACTGTAGCTCGACGTTAGCCTAAAATATTTCTTTAGCAGTAGGTTTCTGCATTTCCTGAGGTAATTGGGGGAACTGCTGTTTAAACCATATAAACTTGTAATAATTTGGGAAAGTCTTTTGTTTCTAACTGATTTTCTGTCAAAATAGAAAAAAAAGTCATCATTGATGAAAAATAATTTGCTTAATGGAAAATAACTGATCATTGGGTTTTTTTGGATGTCATTACTTTTCGATGTCAAATGTATGAAAGGTACATTTTGATATGTCTTAATCCTAAATGGTGTCTTCCCAAATTTCATCTGTGTTTATTTATAAATATTAAATCTTTAATTCTTTATTTTAAAAGATGGAGCTATGGTCCATTATTAGGATAGTTTATTTTTTGATTTACAGAATCTGAAACTTAGGTAATGGGAATGTTCTGCATGTTCTCTACCCTCCACTCGCCCTTTTTGTCAGGCATTAATCTGAAAATCTGTGTATTGATCCTCTATTTACCCTGGAAGTAGTATCTATTGTAAATGAGTTGATTTGTCTCTGTTGAAGGAGTCATTTTTCATTTAGTTGAAGTGTTTAAAAATTACATCTTTCTGTAAGGATGACAACAGCTCATAGCAACACAAAAGCTTGTATTGTGAGTGCAATATAACTTGGAAGAATTTAAAATATACAGAGTCTTGGTTGTTACCCATAGTGATTTTCTGCAACAATTTGTATGTAAGAAGAAGAATCTGGCTTTGTGTTCCATGCATTAGAGCTTTGTCTTGTGTGTTCATTGCTCCTGGTCACTGGTAGTGCTGCCTATGATGGCATTTTTCTGTTGTAGTCGGCGAGGCTCTGGCCTGGGCAAAAGAGGAGCAGCTGAAGCTCGTCGACAGGAGAAAATGGCAGACCCTGAGAGCAACCAGGAGACTGTCAATTCTTCAGCTGCACGGACAGATGAAACTCCCCAAGGAGCTGCAGGTAGAGCGGCACTTCCCAGCCCTAAAATGCATTTATGTATGTAACAGGTTTATTTGGAGATAAATCACTTTCTACACCAAATATATTGGAAGAGGGGGGACAGAAATATACCAAATGTTTATCATCAAATGAACTCTTTGTCCTCTTTTGTTTCACTTTATAAGTTTGGTTGTTTTGATTATTTGGATTTGGTGGTGGTGGTGGTGGTGGTGGTGGTGGTGGTGGTGGTGGTGGTTTAATTCTTTTCCAAATCCATGTTCGTACTAATACATTCAAAGGGGTTTTAAGAGAGAGTTTCTTTCAGTTTTAAGTTTTTCATAAATTGATGACTGTAGTAATAGTTGCCCATTGATTGTTTGAAAAAAATTAAATTTATAAAATGGTAAGGATATGGCTTAATTCACTTCATGTGTAAATTTTAAGTTAGAATGTAATTTTTAAAAAATAGTAAGTATTCAGTTTGAATCCAAGCAACTTCAAGAATACTATTTATATTTTTGTGGGCTTCTTTTATTCTTAATACCTTAGCACAACAAAAGTTAAGCTACCCCTGCTCTCCCACCCCTCCACCCTTCAACTTTAAGTAAGTATCCGTACCAACGCCAAAAGAAGGCTAATAACTTCCATGGCTAATTGTTGCTAACAGGTTTTAAAATGTAGCTTGTTATTAACATTTCTCACTAACATTAAGATCCCATTCAAAAAATCGTACAATTCATCATTATAAGCATAGGAGTATGAGGCCATTAAATCAAGATGATAACACATTGGTGTAGGCATAGTATATTCTTTCTTTTGAACAGGGCTCTATCATGTACTATTGCTTAATATTAGAATATGTTCTGGTTTTCTCACTCCTGTCCATATTTTATGCCTTTTTGCTTTGCTTTCTGTCCACCTTAACATTAGTACCACTGATCTTTTCCAGTTAGGTATGATACGTTATTGGTGAACTTACAGCATCTCTTCTGGTAGGAGGGGACTTATTTCCTGTACCTTTTTTTTTCAAATAGGTTTTTGGAAGAGTTAAATGGTAGACACAGGGGATAATAAAAAGTCTATTGCACATGCAGCTCATTGAAGCTTTTTATGATCTATAGCCTCTCCTTCCCAGTGTTTTAATGCTCATTTCAAGCCTGAACATGGAAGTGGGGCAGTTCCCATATGGATGACAGAAATGGAGCTGTGGAATATGTTGTTAAAGTGAACTCATTACAGTAATTATAGTAGCTAGCAGTTATGGTGTGTACACTCTATTGCAGACTCAGTATTAAGTACTTTACATATATTCTCATTGAATATTCAAAACAACCTCCTGAGCTGTGAGTGCTGTGATCCTCATTTTATAAATGACGAAAACCTGAAGCACCGAATGGTTAAACTTTTCCTGGATTACAAACTGTTGAGTTGGCCAAAAAAAGTCTGTTTAATATTTCCTGTACAATAAAAGACATTTTTCATTTATACTATTAACTTTATCGATTTGGATATTTTTAGTATGTGGGATATCTCCTGCTGTTGACTCCTAGTGGGTAGAAGCCAAGGGTACTGCTAAACATCTTCCAATGCATAAGACAGTCCCACAGCAAAGAATGATTTGGCCACAGTGTCAGTAGTACCAAGAAACTTTGCAGACCACTTTTGACAGGTTCATTCAGTCACAGCACCTTCTCCATACACTGCACAGATTTTGAGAGAGAGAGAGGGGGAGAGAGAGAGAGAGATTGTTACGTTTTTACTTTTCTTGAAATAATAAAGCATAATATGCTGGAAAATGTGTATTTTCTTCCATCTTCGGTATTAAAATGATTGCACAAAAATTCACCAATTTTGATATGTTTTTTAAAAAATGCACACTGGTATGACAGCTGCCACAATACAATCTAACAAAATTGTTTTGAATGAGGTTAAAGACAACGAAGCACTACTAGAGGCATTGTACAGAAAAAAACTAAATGAACTTTTTGGCCAACATGTTATATAGAATGTGTGACTCTCAATTCCAGGTCTTAGAAAAGAAGTGCATAGTTTATAGTGACTATTCTGCTTCCTTAGGGTTAGAAGTTTGTTTAATTCATGTGGAGATAATTGGAGGCTGGAATGGGGACGGGAGTGGTATGTAAAATTTTGTTCCCTGATATATTTACTTAAGAGTATAAAAGCTTCAAGGGATTAGGTTCATAAGACTGGCCTCCTAAACACTCACCTGTGTTTCATTATCACTCATATTTGAAATCACAGTGTGACCTAGGTATTTTCCAGATGTATGTAAAAGATGCATGTGGCATGTTCACTGGTACTAGAGCAGTACTAGCTTCATTATCCTTTGGAGGCCGGATCCCTGGTGGATCCTACAGGACTTCTGCCAGCACAGTATAGTAGTTCTGGGAAAACAAGCGAATTGCTTATTAGCTTTTCAATATTAAGTTCTTCAGAGTAATGTGTTTTTTTCAAATTTTAATTTTTTAATTACTTTTGGCATGCAATATTAGTTTCAGGTGTACAACCAGTGTAATGTGCTTTAGTTTCTCAGTATGTAAGATTGGAATTTAAAGAAAAATAAAACCCTCTAAGTTAGTGTTGAGTATAAATCGGTGATGGTAATTCAGCATATTTTGGCAAGTATCCATTCTCAGACAGCTCTTATACAGTTGGTATAAAACTTCTTTCATTTGAAGTATTTATTTTGAAATAATGTTTTTCCTGATTTAAAGAGATTGTGTTAATCTCTTTAGTGTTATTTTTATATTCATTTTTCAGTGTTACTTATTTTTAAAGATCATATCTTCCTAACCAACTTCAATAGAATCATTGAAATAGCTGGATTTCTTTTCTTCACATGTAGATATTAAAGCGTTGACTCCATCTTTGGCAAACTTGCTTATATCACCCAGACTTTGCCAGTGTTGTTGACACCTAGGAAAGTTTGTTGGTAATGGTGTCCCTCCTGGGTCTGAAGTATACTGTGATGGAGCTCAACCTCTCTAGATTTTCATAGAAGAAACGTTAGTTATTGAAGTTGAAAATAAGTGTTCCCACATTGTCCCAGAAGTCTGGAGTGGACTTAGCTTTGGGCTTCGTGAGAACCATGCACCCCTTCGTAATGCTGATAACGATCTTGGAAACACTAGAGATACTAAATTGGAGAATCACATCTGTAGAAAGCAGCTCTTAAATTTTGTTAATTTTTCTTGCCCTAACTGTTTCTGTTTGACACAACTACAAGTCAGATTGTTACCATGTCACCTGATACCAAGACCCATAAAAAGTACAATTATATTCCTAATGACATTCTTCTGGCTTGTCTCAGAAGTTCTTGTGACACCTAAAAAAAAAGATTTCCTACTGTCTCTCTGGTATTTAGACTTGGGTATCTGGCGAACCCTTAGTGATTCCTGTCAACTAATACTGAATGCTGTCAATCAGTATTCTGCTATTTTGTCTTTGCTTCCTGCCTAAGAGGTTGCATTTGCTCAAGTATAAAAACTTGGAGCTCCATATTAAAATTCTTGTGTTCTGATTTAAATAATAAATTTTGTTCATTGTTTTTATTCACCTGTGTGCTGGAAACTGTCTTACATGGTATTCTGAAGATATGCGAAGACTAGATGGGAGAGAGACCAATTTAAACAAAAGTAGATTGACACCTCTTAAAATGTGGCATTGGAGTTTCTCTGGTGGTAGTCTTATCTTTTCATTTGTGTCTGGGGACAGATCTTGTGCATGTCGCCCAAGGAGATCTGATGACCTGACTAAAGAACTCTGTCATTAACTCTTATTGATTGATTACATTTTCTTACCTGCATGACTTTACAAACAGCAACCCATAGGCTAGAGCTAGTTGGATTTATCTAGATTTGTAAAAGCTTTAGTACAGAGAGCTACAGTAAACAGATACTTAGTACTTGCCATCAAAGGGCTGGCAAAGAATCTTTTTCTCTGGGTCTAGTAACTGATTTCTTTCACAACGGGTATTCCACCACCATTAAAAATCAGAACACCCCTGTCCCTCCTTGTAGTGTTCTGTGGCTCCCTTTAAGATTGGGCCCCTGCTGTTTTAGTCTTTGCAGCAGTGCAATTTGAGATATTTATTATTATGTAAGTTATTAAGATAATATGTTTAAGAGGTAACTTCAAAGACAAACCTTTAAACTCTTATGTTGTAGATCTGTAGAATGTTTTATAAACCACTAGACACTCTGATAAAGTTAGAAGACAGCATTACCTTACAAGTGAATTTATGTTTTTTTCTTAAAAAATGTGTGGTTCCAGAGTATGTGAAAACCCACCATCTTGTTCATTAAAATTTTCTATGATGGGAAGAGTTTTAAAGCAAGCTTAAGAGCCTTAAGAGCCACATTATATTCACTTGTAATTGGGGCCCTAATAGCAGTATTTGTTAACAAGGTTTCTGCATCATGTGAAAAAGAAGTTGTATTTGAATTAAAAAGTAGTACCGAAGAATTTATTTAAGGAGTTAATAGAATTAGGTTTTTTTTTTTTTTTTTTTTTTTTTTTTAAGACAAAAATTTATTTTCAGAGAGAATGGAAGGAAGGGAGAGAAACAGAGTGGCTGCCTCTTGCATGCTCCCAGCTGGGGACCCAGCCTGCAACCCAGGCATGTGCCCGATCTGGGAATTGAACTGGTTTGCAGGCTGGCCAATGCACTGAGCCACACACCAGCTAAGTATGACAGAGTTCAGTTCTTAAGAGTACAGCCTAGGAAATTAGACTGCCTAGGTTCAAATCTCTGATCTTTATTAGTTGTCTGACCTTCAGCAAGTGCCACAAAGTCCCAAAGCCTCAGTTTTCTCATGTGCATGATAAAGCTTATGATGCCTCTTTGTGTGGTTGTGAGGAAACACATAGACACAGCCTGCATATAATAGAGTAAGCATTTAATACCACCTTTAAGTAGCAGTAAAGTTGTTGGTTATCTTTTTTCTTCACCAGAGTATAGACTTTGCTAAGCTCTGAGACCCTTTAATATATAAACGTTTCTGGTTAGTCTGTAACTATAAACCATGGAGTTGCTAACATCTTCTGTAAATAGTTGATGTTTTAAGCTTCATACAGGCTCTATTAGAACTATTCTATTCAGCTGTGCAGGTGTAACCTGAAAGCAGCCACACACAATATGTAAATAAATGAGTTTGGCTGTATTCTAATAAAATTACAAAATTGATGTGCTGGACTGGATTTAGCATGTGGGCCAGTTTGCTGACTCCTGTTCTAAACCATACATTTTTCCATGATTTAAAAATTTCTAGTGAAATGATAGAAAATACGTAATGAGGTCTGAAGAAAAGCATTAAGAAAATACACAGTTGACGGCTGGTGTATTAGCATTTCTTTCTTCAGAAAAGCTCTTTAAATCCATGCTACTTTTGTGCTTCTTTAAACAATATTACAATAATAATGACAAAACTTCTTGGCTTGCATTCTGTCATTATTTGGCAATTTTACAGGGCTTAAGATATTGCGGATGGTGTGGTCATACATAAATTAATAGTCTGTATAAACACATGTTTTAAGTTAAGACTAAACAGACAGTGAAAGGAGGAATAGCAAACCTGCCAATTTTATAGGAGTGTCCTGGTCAGTTTTGTGAAAGAATCAAACCTGTGTTTGTTTAGACCAATTATTGGTCAGGTTAGCATTTGGGATATAATAGAATCCTTCTGAATCTGAACTCTTCATTCTACACATGTTTTGACATCTTAGTTGCCCTTTCTTTTGTACAACAGTGTTTTGCAATCATTGTTTAGTTGTAATGTGTGCATCTTCAATACTTTGTCCTTGAAATAAAAGTATAGTTTTTGCAAACTCTTGAAATTAAAAAAAAACATAAATGATATTATCAATACTGCAGTGTAGAGATGAAGCAGACTGAAGAAGGAACACATTTACAGGGAACATTTCCCCCGTATGTCACTATTGCTTTCTGTTATGTTTGTGATTGATTGCTCATCTGTTAAATATCAGTAGTGTTAGCATTGTTATCTTCATGGATTTTGGTAGAGGAGTTCAGGACAAAACTTAATTTTAGGAACAAAAAGGGCATGAAACATTTATTTAAGCCATGTATGTATGCATGCAATGCAAAGGTTGTATTTTTATGCTTGTATAACACTAAGTTTGAACCGTCTTTTCATAAAAGCTAGAGGATGAAGTCGAGAAGAACAGCTTGGTATACAGTGGGCAGACATCTAATTGTCTTTATTCAGTGTCGTCTATAAAACTCATTTTTCTCTTTAAAGATCAGCCCTAATGAGTTCAGATGTTCCTCTCTTAACCCTTGCCTTCTTTTTCCCCCCCCTTTTTCCTTGAAGCCTCTAGTTCTGTTGCAGGGGCTGTGGGCATGACTACCTCTGGGGAGAGTGAATCAGATGATTCTGAGATGGGACGATTACAAGGTAAAGATAGTTTTGAGCTTATAAAAAAACCATTACTGTGGGCTGCCTGTTACTATTCTTCTTTGTTGAAATTAATTCAGATAAGTTATTTGAACATAATCAAGCAATGCTTATACCTCCAATAAAGCTTCTTATTTAGTGGTGACTTGATGATTTGGAATTGAAAAATGATCATCTGGCTCCTCATTTTTACTGTTTAACTGGAGAAAAAAATCTTACATACTTATTTTGACTGTTTAAAATTTTCTTTGTTATGTTTGCATGTGTAGTTGGTAATAAATTAAGGTACCTAATAACAGTGCATCTTGTAGAGTACTTTTTGGCATGTTCTTTGGTATTCTTGATATCCTAATGTAAAGTGTGTACATAAACATCAGGCATTAATGTTCTAAGAACTTTTTTAAAAGCAGCTTTATATATATGCTCTTTACACATGGATGAGTATATATTATTATTTTTAGATGGTTGATTTCCACTGTGAGGCTTACAAGAAACATTTATAAATTAGTTTCAGATTGCTTTTGAGTTCCTGAAGGAGCTAACAACAATCTCTTTGACCAGAACTCTTATAACACAGGTTTCTCACTTTTTGGAACTGATAACAATTTTTCGTGTATTTAGAGGCTCTCAGGACCAATAGCTGATTGGAAAATATCAAGGGATAAACAGTGCAAGGGTGTTTAGTGTATAATTTCTTCAAAATAAATACTTTGAGTGTTTCTTGGACCATAGTTCCTGCTGGTACACTGATATTCAGTACCTCCATTAAAACCTTAAGATGCCTTGGAGCTGGCACATGGGTGGCTGTAGCTTATATTAATATAATTAACATGAGAGTAGACTTGAAAGTTTAATGTAGCATCTCTTAAAGTTCAGAATGGAAAGGAACATTGTCTAAATCAGTTATATGAGATGATGAGTCAGTTGCTTGAAATTTTTAGATAAGATCCATTTTGTTAACAACTCATCTGCTCCCTGCCCTTCTCTCTTTAGCTCTGTTAGAGGCCAGGGGTCTTCCTCCTCACCTGTTTGGCCCTCTTGGTCCTCGGATGTCACAACTTTTCCACAGAACAATTGGAAGTGGAGCTAGTAAGTAAATATATTAAGTTTGTTCTCCTGACCCCAAATCCTTAATAATTAGTTGAGAGCTGTTTTTATTGTTTACCTCTTGATGTAAGAAATTTTCATGTAGAGAAATTTTATGAAGTTTAACCTGTTTTTAAAAATACAGCTTTTGCACATTCTTGCATTAAATACAGCAATTCTAAGATTCTGTTTGAATTGGAATCATTAGAAAACTGAAGATTATAGCAGGATTGATTCTTGTTTTATATGAGTTATAGAAGAGTAAAGAATCTCCTGTTCAATGGAATGATCTGACGTTGGGCGGCGGGCACACACTGCAATACGCTGACCATGTATCAAAGAAATGCACGCCTGAAACCTGTATGACCTGATAAACCAATGTCCCTACAATGAATTTAATTAAAAAAGAACCTCAGATGATTGCGTTGATTATTATAGCATCTGATGGCATGATTTGCATATATTTGAATCTTGAGTTTTTAATGTTATAATGAAATTTAACCCATAAGGCAGTTGTAATATGTACCTGGGAGGAAAGATTTCTCAGCAGAATTACCAGACCTAGTTACTAAACTCATTTAATCAAATTCCTGCATTATAATCCAGAGATCCTGTCATATATGGTGTGACAACAATGACTTTTTAAAGTCTTAATTTGTAACTAAGAATAACTTTTGCATAATTACAAATCCACTTAAACTCTTTCTGGTATAGAATATTATCTTTAGTTTCCTTAAGCAAAATTTACAATTAAGCATGTTTTAATAACTCCATTGATAATGCTTCCAAAGATCAATAGGCCAAATTAAGATTCTAGCCTTGCTAAATTTCAGAGTTTCTGAAGTGTAACTGAAGCCTATTAATTCTGACCTTACTAATATGTGCTTATATAATTTTCTATCAGATATTACAGATTTTTTTAGTGTGTTCATATGTATATGTACTCACATATTTGTACTTACATTTGAGGGTTTTTCAGTATCTTGGCTTTAGTGTTTGACAGGAAATTTAAGAAGCAGCTGGTACTTCTGTTTGTTTTGCTGCCCTGATACTCAGCTCTCAGATCACGTACCCTGTTACAAGGGTCTCATGAACGCTTGAATGTGGTTTTTTATGTAGTGTCATGATTAGGTACTGGGCTTGTACTGAGTCATGAATAAGATAATAAGCAGAGTTGTTTTTCACCTGGAGCATTCATGTGCTAAAGGGTGACCTGGCAAGAAACAAGGCAGTTATATAGTAAATTTTCAGGTAGTATCAGCCCAGTGAAGGAAAACAAAGCACTGGGTAAGAATGTAGGTTATTGGTGGGGAAATGTAGGTAGGCTCATGAAAGCAACCTCTGAGGCGTCATGGTTTTGTGAAGACCTAAATGAAGTGAGGAATCCAGCTCTGCACAGGTCTGAGGGAAAGAGGATGTGCACATGGGAGGTGGGACTGAGCTTGGCATGTCTGAGAAATCGACAGCAAAGAGAGGCCTGTGGGGGAGTGAAGGGAGAGGGATAGAAGAGGAAAGCTAAGAGGTTTAGGCTCTCCCCACGTTCATGTAGGGTCTTGGCAGGCCTGCAGCAAATGTGGGGTTTATTTAACCTAAGGGTAATCAGTAACCATTGAAGGGTTCAGAAAAGGAGGATGACATGATCTTTATCCCATTTTTTCATTTATATCCTCAACTTCTCTTTCCACTCCTAACACTATTTTTAAGCCAGTCATAGGTATCATCACTTCATATGTATATATTTGGATTTGTAACTGTAAAAATAAGGAAATAAAAATATTTAGGCTTTTTCAGATTTGATTTTGATTCTATTTCCTTTCCCTAATGGGGAAAGACTGCAAAAGTCGTGGTATATTCTAATATTAGGAAACACATAAAGTCTGTCTCATAAAACATTGAAATGAAACTTACTGCCTCTTAGATAGCAGGGATTACAAAATGATAGTACTGCACATCTAATGGTTAGTCTTCACTTGACTAGAAGTAATTTAGTAGAAATATATAAAGAATATCTCTCCCAGAAAACTTTTATGGGCAAAATCATTTTCTCCCCTTTATTTACCAGTTTTCAAAATAGTTGGTTTTGTATTCTTTAACGTACTATTGTTATTACTTTAGGTGTCACTGTCAAATGTGTTGAGTCATGTTTTAGACATTTTTAAGTGATGTTCATTGATGGTTGAATTGTTCCATCATTGGATGATGATGGGATCTCTTTTGAGGTTGGCTTCTGAATCTTTTTGACAAGATCTCAGTAATTTTTTGCTTTCTGATATGACAAGTTCAGCTCCTTCTTCCACCACCGCCTCCAGCTACCCATACCTGAAATCAGACATTTCCTCAGAGACCCCTCATTTTTAAAAAAGTAATGAAATTGTGTTAAGCCCACAGTCTGGGCTGTAGGCATATTCATTACTACTGGTTTGATCGTTGTTATTAGACACTTTTAATGGACAAATACAGGAAATAATTGTATTTTATCTTTTCAATAAATATCATGAGTTCATACTAATACTGCCAGTTCAAATTCAGGACTGCAGGGTTTTAATTACCTTTTATATCTTATGTCTTCTCCCATGCCAAAAGTTCCAGTCCCTAATGAGAAGAACATGGTCACGTCTTCCCTTGATATCCCTTTACCCTGTTTCTTCCTCGCACACAAATAACCTTTGTTAATTTTATGGCTTATTCTTCTGTTATTTACTTGAGAAAACAAAAACAGATGCATGTTATCTGCTTTACACACACTGCCTTTCTTAGATAACAGTGCTGAACTTTATATACTTTACCTTGCTTTTAAAAATATTTTTTAGTGTTCACTCTCCATAGTTGCTGCATATGTAGATTGCAAGAGAAAGAGAGATTTGTTTTCCTTTTGTAAAGCACCATAGTGCTAGTTTATTTAACCAGTTTCCTGTTGAACTGGGTAAATAATTCAGGTTATTTCCAGTCTTGGTTGTGCTGCAGTGAAATATAGCCTTCCTATTTTTTCCCGTGTTATCTGGAGGATAGATTTCTAAAAGGGACATTACTGTTTAAAAAGGTAAATTCATACAACATTTGGCAGATGCTGTAAATCTCCCTGTTACAGAGTTTTACCATTTTTGCCTTCCTACCATTCATGCATAACAATGACGTCGTGTCATTTCTTCTGCTAACTTTTTAGTTATATATCCTTGTATACTTCTGTTAGTGGATACCCTAGAAATATAATCTATATGCTTGGTTTATTATAGCCTATCTTATAATACTATTTTATCATACCCAAACAGTACAAGAACTTTACAACAATGTAACCCTTTTTACCTCCTGCTGTCCTTAATGCTGTTGTTTTTAATGTGTTTTACTTACACATGTGTTATAAACACAATAAGAATTGTTATTTTAGAACATTCATATTCTTCTATGTTTATCAATATATATGCCATTTCAGTGCTCTTAATTCCTTCCTGCATTTTTTTCCTTTTTTTAGGGTTTGTTTCCCTTTAGGCTGAAGAACTTTTTTCATGTAGTGAATGATTGCTAGTGATTATTTCTCTCTGATGTTGTTTGAGAAATCCTTGATTTGCCTTAATTTGTAAAAGTTATTTTCCCCAGCTCAAAATTTCTATGCACTTGTAATGTTTCTGGTTTTTCTAGTTCCTGTTTAAAAGTCTTTGCCCATTCCTAGGTAGTGTCTTCTTCCTTTGGATTTTAAGATTTCCTTATTCAAAATATAATTAATTTTTAGTAGTTTGACTATAGTTGGATTGTGTGACGGTTTCTTTCATTTTTAATTTGGTTGAGTTTCATTGAACCTTTGAATTTGTGAATTGACACCTCATCAGTTTTGCAAAATTTTTGGCCATTACCTCTTCAAATATTTCTCTTCTCTTTCTCTTAAAATATTCTCTTTTCATTCCTTCTGGGAGTAGCAAGATCATACATGTTCAAACTTTGGACTCATTCAACATGTCTCCCTGGCTCCATTTTATTTTTGTTTTTATGAGGATTTTTTCCTTTTACCCAGTTTGAAAACTTTCTTTGGCTAGCCTTTAAATTCACTAATTTCTCTTTCTGCTGTCTTCTTCAATGTTTTTTAAAACCAGTCAGTGAGTTTTCTAATTTTTATGTTTTTCAGTTCTATACAGCTATTTGATTTTTATTATAGATTGTAATTCTTTTGAAATTCTTTACATTCTTACTCATTTTGTCCATCTTTGCTTATATTTTCTGGGCCAGATGATAAACATTTTGACCTTTGTAGACCATAGCATCTCTGTTGCAACTCTTCAACTCTGGCACTGTGGCATGAAAGGAGACACCAGCAACATACAAACATCACCCTAGCTGTATTCCAATACAGCTTTATTTATGGACAGTGAAATTTGTATTTCACTTAATTTTACATGTCACAAAATATTGCTCTTTAATTTTTTTTAGCTAAAAATGCAAAAGTCATTTTTAGGTCACAGGTTGTACAGAAACCAGCAGGAAGCCAGATTTGGGACTTTATGGAAAATATTTGCCATCCAACCCTTATTTGTGATAATGGTTTCAAGGTGTGGTTCATAGACTTCCAGGTGGTTCCTGAGACCCTTACATTTATTTTTTATTACTTTAATTTTTATTTTTCAGTTATAGTTGACATTCAATATTATATTAGTTTCAGGTATATAGCATAGTGGTTACACATTTATATAAAGTGATTCCCTGGATTAGTCTTGGTACCCACCTGGAATGTATAGTTAATGACAATACTATTGCTTGCATTCCCTAAACTGTTACTTGGATTCCATTTATTCTGATGTAGGTATTTAGAGGTATATGACATTTCCTTTGAAGTCTGGGCATCATTGTTTAGCACGCTTTTATAATTGCAGGAAACCTTTGCTTACTGTATATATACACTTAATACATATTCTATATATGTTACAGATATTTAAAAGCCAGTATTTTAACAGTAACAATTTATATTAGTCATGGATATTTTTTGTTTTAACCATTAAGAAATCAATCAACTTGTCTCATTTAGGTAGATAAATAATAAGGTAAAAATATATAAATAACCAGAGATCACTTTAAGGCAGAGTAAATTCAATTAATTTGTCTTGAATTAATTTCAGTAGCTTGTCTTAACCCTGATAATAGACCTGGACTTTAGTTGGAATGCAAAGAAGATAAGCAGCTAGCTATCACCATGTTTTGCTATGTATAATGGGCTTACCCATGTTTTTGGCCCAAACTTTCAGGGAAAAAAAATCTTTTTCTTTCTTCTCTTTCTTTTTAGAAACAAAACCGATTATTGTATTCCAGGGTATTTTGCACATGGAAATCATTATTGCTTCCTAGAGTTACACTTTTAACACATAAGTATAAATAAAAGAATTAAAATCATACTGATAGGGAATTAGTACTACCTGTGTATAGTGAGCATCCTTATGTTTTCCCAAAAGATTTGGGCAAAAAAGTGTGCCTTATATGCGGCAAAATATGGTCTATAGAGTCACATCTTTTATCTAGTAATAATTTTATTAAATGTTTAAAAATAATCATTTTTTCCCTTTGCGTAGGTTCTAAGGCCCAGCAGCTTTTGCAAGGACTACAAGCAAGTGACGAAAGCCAGCAACTCCAGGCAGTCATTGAAATGTGTCAGTTATTGGTCATGGGAAATGAGGAGACACTGGGAGGGTTTCCTGTCAAGAGTGTCGTTCCAGCTTTGGTAAGATTCCCCTTGTTTTTCCTCCCTTGTCCTCTCTGCCAGTATACTTAAATGAAAATATAATTATTGTCATTATGAATTTTAAAACATGGCAGAACAAAGAGACAGTAGAGTGTAGCTTAGTGCCTTTATTTCATGCTTATAGTGTGATTGCTAATGATGAATTAGTGAATTTTCTAAACCATTTCCTGACCAGTAGTTACTCCTTCTTTGACACTTAAATGACTAGTTTTAAGTTTTAAATTCTTGGCCTCTTGACTTACTACACCAACTCCCATGCTTTCTCATGTAGCCTTTGTGTTACATGGGGGCAGTAATAAGCAGCTCACTTGTGGGTTTTTTTGTGTGCCATACAGGTTTCATGTCTGATAATTGTGTGCATGGCAGAGCCGTCAAGCCACAGCCCACATGGATCCTTCCAGCTTAAAAAGTTTTTGGTTTTTTTAAGCAAAAACAAACCCAAAACCAACCAAAAGCAATACCAACAATAGAAAAATAATTTTAAAAATCTTTTAATTGTTTTTCAACAAAAGTATGAGTTGATATTTAGAGTTTACTAAAATTAATTGCTTAAGCTTTTTAATGTGAAACAACAGGAAGAGAGAGGCTTTTGTGCATATGTTTTTTAAATAGTAGCTTGGTAAATTTTCTTAGTCCAAGAGTAAAGAAATTGGCTATAAGTTAAGTCTGAATAAAATACTAAGAAAGAATAACAACATAAATATCATGAACACATCATAGCATATTTTACCTTGGAAATTAAAAATAATCGTAATTTTTTACATATATGATAACATTGACAAGAATGAAATTATAATTGGTATATCAGATTGTTCCATTTGATCACATATCAAATTATGGAGAAAGTTGAGTGTTAAAGAGAGAGCTGAATGAAGACCAGTAAAATATGAGGTGATGTAGTCTTTATCCTGCCCATTCTTAGTTGGTGGATGGCTGAGCTCTGGCAGGAGTTGATAAAGATTAAACCAATTTTTACCTGTTGCCACTCAGATCTTTGGGTAATGAGAACTAGATACACTTTAATAAAGCCTTTCATGTTGATTCCTAAGTGTTTTGCAAAAGCAGTATTAGCCTTGTGTACTTTTTCACATTTGGCTTGTGCTAGTTCATGCTCAAATTACAGATTTCTTTGATACTGGCTACTGCTACCCAAATTAAACTTTCTTGTTTTGTTGTTGTTCATTAAAAAATAAATAGCAACAAAGAACTAGGTTTACCTTCTGCTGTCTACTGTTAAAATGAAATTTTTGTTAAATAAAGAAGCTGTTAACTCTAGGCAAAAATGTTGACAGTCAAATTTATTTAATTTGCTGGTTATTGATTAGATTTAAATGCTTAGTGTAGACTTGGAACTAGTCAGCTGATGCTGTTAATAATAACTGTTGTTAATGAGTTGTCCAGATTTATCTTTTATCACAACTGAATATTGTGAGTATATATCTGCCCATTATCACACACTTTGGTGACTAGTCATTTTTAGTGAAAGGGAATCAGTCCATTTAGAGCAATCCTCCTTCCCAAATATGGTCGTATAAGGTTCAGTCCACCTTAAGAATTGGAGGACTTGTCATTTTTTTTCTGTTAACAGGACAGTCTCTTTCAATTTAGAGTAGGTGTTTTAAGTGACTGATTAATTGTAAGTGATTTGTGAAATAGAGTACTGTTAACCCTGAAATAGAAGGTGTGTGTGTTTTAACAAAAACAGTTATCAGGACCTCTGGTGTGCATGCATGCATATGCATCTGATATATATCATATATATATATATATTCATTCTGTACCCAGTATGATTCAGAGCCAAGAAGACACTCTTACTAAATGATTGTTGTATTAGAATATCTGATGTCTTTTACTGTAATTATGCATTTAATTAAAGGGTACTTCATAGCTTTATTGAGTGCATTTAAGACTTTCCATTGAACTAGAAGACAGTGAATGATCTCCTTCCCTAGATAGGAAATTTTTTTGGTAGCTTGGCTGCTTCAGGATAATGGAGGGTATACCCCTAGCAGTTTTGCATTCCCTTCTTTGAAAAACGTGGTCGAAATCTGCTTAAGGTCTTTTCCCAAGAGAAACTAAAATAAAAATAAGGTATTTAAACTAATTTTTGCATTTGTAGAATAAATATATTAATTTAGGTCTTAATTGGTACATAATTGGTGTCTGATCATGGTCAGTATTGTGTTTAAATCCCATACTGCCAAGTTTTACATCTGCTTATCTCAACTTTAGCGAAGCTTATTCAAAAGAATTTAAGCCTTGGTCTTGAATCTGTACTGACAGTAGTTTATTTAAGAAATGTCAGTTCATTGCTGCTTGGTTCATTTATGTACTAAGTATTTAGTGACACCTATTAAGTCCTTGGTGATGTGTTAATGAGCCTCTGAAGGGTGTGGTAGATTAGAGGTATTAGAAGGAGGGGTAGTAAGCAGCAGGAATGCTTTGTTTTTGACCTGGATCGTGATGTGATGATTAACCAGCGAAGCTCCCAACTTGGAGCTATAGTGTGTGAGTAATGCCATCCTACACATAATCATTTCTTGTGCATGCATATTAGGTGTTTAACTAGAATGATTTTTCTATGATAAGTTTTGAATAATACTCTTCCATTTCATTTGAAGTAGAGGAAGCAGTACTTCCTCTATGACTTTTCTTTAAGACTATAAATAGCTCCTAATACTTTGTTATAATCTTTTAACAGATAACATTACTGCAGATGGAGCATAATTTTGATATTGTAAGTATGTCCCACATTTTTTAAAGCACTCCAAATTGATACTTTGAGTTTGTTTGTTTTTAAGAAAAAATGCCTCTGTGTTTTCTAGATGAACCATGCTTGTCGAGCCTTAACATACATGATGGAAGCCCTTCCTCGATCATCTGCTGTTGTTGTAGATGCAATTCCTGTCTTTTTAGAAAAGGTAATCCTACTTTTGGCCAATTTGTTCAAAAGCGGGGTAGGGGGAAATCAAGCTGAGGTCTTAGAGGTCTCATGACTTCTGAATTCTAAGGAAGTACATCACATTGTGAGGCCACATTAAAAAATACTTTTTAGCATTCATTATCTAAGTAAAGTTTTTTGTTTGTTTGTTTGTTTTTTTTTTTTGCCAAGTTTCCAGAAAAATATTTCAGAGCAGTAGTTTAAAGCTGATGTTTATAAAACATTTATAAAATCAACCCAGGTTTATAATTTTTAATACCTCTATGTAGTTTTAATTACATTAAAATCTTTCAGAGAAGGCCTTAATGCACTTGATTAAAACTAATTTTATTATTTCTGGAAAACATCTCTGAGGTTGTAGTTGTGTATACCCTCATTTTGTAGCTGAGAAGGCTGAGATAGACAAAAGTGCCTTGCTCAAGGTCATACAGTGAGTCAGTGGAGAAAGGGAATTTTTTTTGTATGTGGTAGGTTGTGTTTTTTGGTCCATCTTAAGGGTCTTTTCCTTTATAATACATGAAAAAAATCATATCTGATAACCTTGGAATATGTAAAAAATTAAACTGGTTTTAAACATGTTATATAAAACAACCTGTTTATTTTAAATATGAAGAATTAAATTTATATAATTACATATAGTTTATTCTCAGTATAAGACATTTTTCAGTATCTTTAAACAGAGCAAAGTAGTTGGAAGCTATAGTGGCTGTACATTATAGCTTAAGCCGGTTTCCTATGGTTGGTTTCATGTTAGAGGCAATATAGATTGATGGAGATCAGAGGAAATACTTGAAAATAAGTGACTAGAAAAGAACTTGAATGATAACCTTAGGTTACCTACTTTTATGTTACCAGCTTCAAGTAATTCAGTGTATTGATGTGGCAGAGCAAGCCTTGACCGCCTTGGAGATGTTATCACGTAGACACAGTAAAGCCATTCTACAAGCGGTAAGTGTTGTTACCGAAGCACTGTATTTCATTTCATGTTGGATTTTACATCCACAGCTCCTAGATTTCAGTCTCTGTTGGGTATACATGGTGTTTCCAAAGTGATGTGCTAGACTTTACTAGTAGGCTTTTTAAATTGCTGATAAAGGGTATTTCTTTATTTTAACAGTTTTCTATATTATAGGGTGGTTTGGCAGACTGCTTGCTGTATCTAGAGTTCTTCAGCATAAATGCCCAAAGAAATGCACTAGCAATTGCAGCCAATTGCTGCCAGAGTATCACGCCAGATGAATTTCATTTTGTGGCAGATTCCCTCCCCTTGCTTACCCAAAGGCTAACCCACCAGGTAAAATATGAAACTATTTTATGTGTCATAAACATTTTTATTACACTTTTAAAATGTCAATTTTAACTAGGATTTTAAGTCCTTCAACTGGGTATATAAATAGGAAATGTTCTGATCCATCATTTTTTTGTGTGTTACCCAGTCTTGTGTACTGTATTAGGTATTTTGTAAATTTTGGTGGATTCACACAAATGAACAGTATTTGATATGTTTGAGATCTTCAACTATTTTGACTTAAAGGGACAAATTTGTTATTTTAGCAAAAATTGAGTGTTTACTCTATGATGTTATCAGAATTTCCTTTTGGAAAGGCGTTGGGTTAGACAGACAAGCCAGGAGGCTAAGGTTAGGAGAAACATGTCCAAATAGAAATGAAATGGAAAATGTAGACTGCAGCTATCTGGGGAGAAGAGCAGGAGCGGTTATTTAGGAGAGGCAGTCAGTGGCCCTCGTGAAGGTAGTGTGAGAAACAAGGCTTACAGAGGCTGCGGTGGGTGGACAGATCATGAGTTAAGCCTCAACTCAAGGTTATAGAGAAGTTGAATTTTCTTTAAATATAAATTAATGTTTTAAAGTGCTATTGCTAAAGAGACTGTAAAAAAAATCTGGCTTTTAAATTACCTTCACAAAGTATACGTAAAATCTAACCGTTAGGTCCATAAAATATGTTAAATAAGGGATTTACATGAGAAAGATAATTATTGACACTCTGGTGTGTTTTTCTTCTAAGGTGATCAAGACACGAAGAGTGTCACTAGTACATTTATTTATTTTTAAAAATTCATTAGTCTGAGATAACCTTTAACTAGTGGGAGCCCCTTATGGGAGCTAGAAATATGTTCTCTAGTTAGCTGTGACTTCGGTGTCTTATTTCGGAAGTAGGCATGACAGTCAGTTGGCCACTGTCGTACCACTTTTCTAGACAATTAGTGACAGTGAAGGTGTAAGGCTTTTGTAATACTCGAATAATTCTCGTTTTTACATAAGCAAGTCTAGTTTTCACATTGGAAGCACATTTATTAGGGAAAAAACAGGGTCTATCAAAACACTTTTTAAGCCATTAAATTGTTCTTTTTGTTCTTACATGGATTATTTAAAATGAAACCATTTTAATAGTATTTCCAGACTATTTTTTATAGTGAATATAGCAAACCTATACCTGGTTTCTCACATTGTCAATAAACCTCTGGTTCATACACATTTAACTATTTTTAAGTTTTTAGTGTATGCATGTTTTAAATATTTCTACTGGGGATGCTTTTCAGGATGATAGGGTGTTTTTCTTTATTATAATTGTTTAGGTACTAAAATTACAGTATATTGGGGCATAGTTTAATAAGGTTTATCCATATGTGACACACAAGTGAGCTGACCCTTCTTCTCTTCCTCAACTTCCCACAAATAAAAACACAAATGAGTAAAAAATAATAAATCAAAGTTACAGAAGTAAAAAAGTTGTATATTTTTTCCTGAATATTTGCTTTTATCTATTGGGGCCTTAATGAAGGAGAGAGGTTCTACCAGTATGATTGTCTTTGCTTTGAAATCATGGTATTGATTGTACCTTGCTTAGGCTCATTGCATTTTCAAAGCTCACATCTATTTCAGCCAGACTTGAAGAGTTTTGGGTTAGAAAGAAGATTATGGTAGTGATGTATGACAGTGAAAATGTTTTCTATTAATAAACTTTATTTTCCTTTATTAAAAAAAATAGGACAAAAAGTCAGTAGAAAGCACTTGCCTTTGTTTTGCACGTCTAGTGGACAACTTCCAACATGAGGAGGTGAGCATTCAGTCCTTGGTGGTATTTTCATGAAGTTGCTAAATTGCTGAATTACAGTATGACAGCTTTTTTTTTTTTTTTCTTGTGTTTGTGAAGAATTTACTCCAGCAGGTTGCCTCCAAAGATCTGCTTACAAATGTTCAACAATTATTGGTAGTGACTCCACCAATTTTAAGTTCTGGAATGTTTATAATGGTGGTTCGCATGTTTTCTCTGATGTGTTCCAACTGTCCAACTTTAGCCGTTCAACTTATGAAGCAAAGTAAGTGCTATTTTATTTTTCCACATTAAGCAAGAAAAGTGGCTTTAAAAAAATACCTATTTGAGATTGCTAATATCATAGGCACTGTATAATAAAGAAGAAAAATATTAATGTGTTATAAATTTGTGTTGGGACAATATAATGATGCTTCCTACATACACTTTTTAAAGAAAGTATATAGTATATTAAAATTTTACCCTTGCTGTGATTCTAGGGCTAAAGACCCAAGATGATTGCTTTCTATGCAATATCATGTAATGGTAGACTTTGTAGTGGTTCCTCTGATTCCAGAATGCTTTTCTCCTTCAAAACGTTGGAACTTACACAGATAAATGTCTTGGATCTTTGCAACTTCAGTATTTCTAAGCCCTTTCCAACCTTACCCAGTGTGCAGGAAATAGTTTTATTGTACTGCTATTGCAATTTACTGTTACTTTTTTAAACCTTACCTTTTATAAGTTAATGTCTGAAGACAACAGAATTCAAAAAAATAGATTATGGTTGTTGCTAGTAGATTATTGATCACTTTTGTATGAAGCACCCACGTTTGTGTGTAATTTAATATCCATAATTCTGATCTCTGAGGATGTTACCTTGGGAGCCAGGGATGATATTTGCTAATAAAATAGCCTTTGATTGCACTGCCTCAGATAGAACATTGAGTAGCAAAATGTATTACTATATTATTAAATTATTAATTAACTAGTATGAACTATAAACTCCCTTCTTGAGGGGAACTCAGTTTTATTTTCATTTGCATTTCTTGTGAATTAGTGCATTGGCACAGAATTTTAAAAAAAAATGTTGCTGAGGTGATTTATTGATAAGATTCCTCTTAAATCATTGAGTCATCCCCAAACTTGTCATTCCAGGAACTCTTGTTTTTCTTGTGCCATGAACAGTGCTCTCTGCCTAGATGAGTTTGGGAAAGGTTTAAATAACTCCTTTTTGTGTGTAGTCAGAGTGCACTTTGCTTATTATTAAAATCCCTAGGAGCTCTTTGAGTTTTATGTAGCCCAACATTTTCTGGAGTTTGAGTACAGATTATCTCTTGTTACTTTATGGCACAGCATTTCCCTAAATTCTAGTTTTTTGGATTTTTTTTTCTTTTAATATGATAAGCATTTCATCTCTTTTGCATATACTCCAGGAAGTTTGTGGCACACTCATAACACAGTGAATACTAAGCATATTTTCTTTTTACAGCAATAATACTGTGGAAAAAAATACCTCTTATCTTTTTGTTGTTATCCTCTGATCTCTTAAAAAATATAATGGCCCTGGCCAGTGTGGCTCAGTTGTTGGAGCGTCATCTCAAAAGCCGAAAGGTCAGGTGTACAATTCCCAGAGTACATGCCGGGGTTATGGGTTTAGCCCCACCTCGGGATGTGTGCAGGGAGACAGCCGATAGATGTTTCAGTCTCACACTGATGTTTCTCTACCTCTCCCTCTCTCACCACCTGCCCCTTTCTCTTAAAAAGGAAAAAAAAAAAATTAACGAATTCTTGTGTTCCATTGCCATGTATTCACATTTCTTTGGAAAGTTGGTAAAACTACTTTTTCAAGAAAGTTTTAAACATTTTGTTTACTATTTGTGAAATCTCAATGAAGCAGAGATTTAACTATCCATACTTCTCTGCCCAAATCACTGGTGAATAATGTCCTTGATAACTGGCAAAACATTTCAGTGATATATTTATATATATTTTGTCAAATGTGTAGTATATACACAAACACATGCACCACAACCAAAGGAGAGCTACCAACCCTCTCTTAAGGTTGTAGCTGTTAGGGTGACTCATCCCTATGGAGACTAAGGGCTTCTACTCACACTGTCAGTACATCAGACTGGTCCATGCACATTCTTCCATGAACTGATGTCTTCTGGGAAGAGAAACTTGTGGTACATGATATTTTGAAGATTTTGTCTTTAGATGGCATGGTTAGTGTTATACAAGAAAATGTCTGTTTTTTCTGATCACAAAATACGGTAATATTCAGATACTTTTTTTTTTAGATGTTATTTATTTTTAGAGAGAGGGGAAGGGAGGGGGAGAGAGAGGGAGAGAAACATTCATTGGTTGCCTCCTGGACACCATCAGCTGGGGACCGGGCCCACATCCCAATCCTGTGCCCTGATGGAGAATCACACCAAAGTCCTTTTGATCCGTAGGACAACGCCCAGTCCACTGAGTCACACCAGTCAGGGCAAGGCTCAGATGCTTTTTTAAAAATTATATTTAATTGATTATGCTATTACAGCTGTCCTGATTTTTTTCCCCTTTTGCCCCACTCCACCCAGCACCCTCCACACCCTCAGGCAATTCCCACACCATTGTTCGTGTGCAGGGGTCATGTTGTAGGTTGTTTGGCTACTCTCATTTCCTATGCTGTACTTTACATCCCCATGGTTATTCTGTAACTACCTCTTTGTACTTCGTAATCCCTTCACTTCTTCACCTATATCCCCACAACCCCGTCCCATCTGCAACTATCAAAACACCCTCTGTATCCATGATTCTGTTTCTGTTCTTGTTTTTTGCCTAGTTTGTTTTTTAGATTCAGTTGTTGATTGATATGTATTTATTGCCATTTTATTGTTTATAGTTTTGATCTTTTTCTTAAGTAAATCCCTTTAACATTTCATATAACAGTGGTTTGGTGATGATGAACTCCTTTATTTTTTTCTTGTCTGGGAAGCTCTTCATCTGCCCTTCAATTCTAAATGATAGTTTTCTGGGTAGAGCAATCTTGGCTGTAGTGTAGGGTCCTGCTTTTCATGACTTTGGATATTTCTTGCCAACCCTTTCTAGGCTGCAGTTTGTTTTGAGAAATCAGCTGACAGTCTTATGGAAACTTCCCTTAGATGACGAACTGCTTTTCTCTTGCTGCTTTTAAAATTTTCTCTTTATCTTTAACCTCTGGAACTTTAGTGATGATGTGTCTTGGTGTAGTCTTGTTTGCGTCCAACTTCGGTCCCTGTTTGGGACTTTCTGTGCTTCCTGGATTTGTGTGTCTATTTCTTTCACCAAATTAGGGAAGTTTTCTTTCATTATTTTTTCAAACATATTTCCAATTTCTTGCTCTTTGTCTTTTCCTTCTGGCAGCCCTATGATGCGAGTGTTGGACCTCTTGAAATTGTCACAGAGGTTGCTTATGCTATCCTCTTTTTTGGGGATTCTTTCTTCTTCTTCTTGTTCTGATTGGGTCGTCTTTTGCTTCCTTATGTTCCAGATCATTGACTTTCGGCTTCATCCACTCTGCTATTGTTTCCCTGTAAATTGTTCTTTATTTCAATTAGTGTATCCTTTTTTCTGACTGGATTTTTTTTATGCTCTTTAAGTCCTCACTAAGTTCCTTGAGCATTCTTGTAACTGGTGTTTTGAGCTCTGCATCTGATAGATTGCTTATCTCCATTTCATTTAGCTCTCTTTCTGGCGTTTTGATCTGTTCTTTCATTTGGGCCATGTTTCTTTATCTCCTCGTTTTGGCAGCCTCCCTGTGTTTGTTTCTTTGTATTAGATAGACCTGCTATGATTCCCTGTCTTGGCAGAGTGGCCTAATGTAGTAAGTGTCCCGTAGGGCCCAGTGGCACAGCCTCCCCTATCATCTGAGCTGGGTGCTTGAGGTACACGCTTCAGGTGGGCTGAGTATACCCTCCTCTTGTAGTTGCTGTTGTCAGATCAATGGGAGGGATTTACCCAGGCCAGCCAGCTGGAAGGATTGGCTGTGACCACTGACCACCAGTCTTTGCCTTTCTGGGAAGATGAGCTATATAGGGGTAGGGTGGTGGTGCTCCGAAGTGGTCTGTAGCTGTCCACTGGGTGCACTGGCCCTGGGGTTTCCCAGGTGGTGCAGGTCAAGGATAGCCCCTACCATTGTTCTGCCTGGGGCTGCTCTGCCTGAGCTATAAAGCAATCTGAGATGGCTGCTACTCGTGCTGGGCTTGGAGATTCCCAGATGAAGACAAGCGGTGAATCGAGGCTGGTTGCTGCTAGTGCTGGGCCTGAGACTCGCTGAAGCCGGCTGTTGCTTGTTTGAGAGGATTTAGGAAGTTGTGCAGCATGAGCCAAGACCAGCCACTCTTACGGAAAAGCAGTTTGGGTGGGTGCATAAGTTGGGTGGGTAGAGTCTCTGGGAATGTCCAGTGTTTTGTGGCTCTGTTGGGGGAGGGTTTAGAAATGGGACAGTGGCCTCTGCTCGCCTTGATGCCCAGACACTTCAGTTTTTCCCAGTATGCTGGTGCCTTTCAAGCTGCTACCCCAGTGCTGGAACTCAGAGGGCGTGAGTCTGAGTAGGTGAGACTCTGTGTGGGTTCTTTTAAGAGGAACGGCTTGGGGCCTCAGCGGTTGCCTCCACTGACTCCCCACTCATTTTTGCAGCCAAAAGTTGTGGGGACTTATCTTCTTGGCACTAGAACCCTGGACTGGGGGGCCTGGTGTGGGTCTGGGACACCTTGCGCCCAAGATACCCTTTCCAAATTTCTATCCGTCACATACGGGTATGGAGGCAACCCGTTCTGTGTTTGTGCCCCTCCCACCATTCTGGATGGATGTGTTTTCTTTAATTCTGTAGTTTTCAGACTTCCATTTAACTTGTTTTCAAAAGGTTCTGAGTGATGATTGTTCTGTAATTTTGATGTGGTTGTACGAAGAGATGAGCCATGTCTGCCTATGCTGCTATCTTGACCAGAAGTCCAAGATTCAGATGCTTTTAGTTGTTTTGTGTTATCTTATTGGCCACACATTTTCAGTATAGTTGAATCCAAGGTTAAAATACACACTGAGTGCACTTTGTTGTACAAAGCACTGTGCTCCTCAAGGAAAGTAATAAAAGAATTGTGAAGTCCCTGGTTGGATTTGTGATTAGGTGTCTAACTACAAAATTAGGACCCAAACTGAAGCCCTCGGAAATAAATTGTTGCAAGTGCTTTTCTTCAGTGTTTATTATAACTTACTTGGATTTTTTACTGTAATTTCAGTAGTATATTGCTGAAGAAGAAAATAATGGTGATTATTTTTTTCCCCTCGGACTGCCTTTGAAAGTGGGTGACACAATCTAATGAACAGAATAAAGAAAATATAAACAGACGTAGATACATAGAACAGACTGACATTTGTATGGAGGGAGAGGCCCTTGGTGAAACAGGTGAAGGAATTAAGGCAAAAAAACCCCAAAGTCATAGGCACAAACAACAGTATGATGATTACAAGAGGAAAAGGGGCAGGGGTTAGGTAAAAAGGTTAAAGGGGGGGAGGTAAATGATAATGGTAGGAGATTAGGCTCTGGGTGGTGAACACACCATACAATATACTGATGGTGCATTGTGAATTTTACATTTGAAACCTTTATAATTTTATTAACCAATGTCACCCCAATAAATTTAATTTAAGAAAATGAAGTAGGTAGAATAACTAGTTTCACAGGCTTTTGTTTCTTGTTGTTGGTTTTACAGACATTGCAGAAACACTTCACTTCCTCCTCTGTGGTGCCTCCAATGGAAGCTGTCAGGAACAGATTGATCTTGTTCCACGCAGCCCTCAAGAACTGTATGAACTGACATCTCTGATTTGGTAAAGATGGAGCCAATAGCAATAATAATAACCGTACTCGAAAGAGGGCATTTTACTTTAGAGACCTGACAGTTACTCAGGAAGCTACTTATTAAAATAATTGCACCTTTTTTTCTAGTGAACTTATGCCATGCTTACCAAAAGAAGGCATTTTTGCTGTTGATACCATGCTGAAGAAGGGAAATGCTCAGAACACAGATGGTGCGATATGGCAGTGGCGTGACGACCGTGGCCTTTGGCATCCCTATAACAGGATTGACAGCCGGATCATTGAGGTAGTAGTTTCCTCGTACCGTTTAAATGTGTCTATTTGGTGGAGAGCGGGTGTAGGGATGGAAGGGGGAGGGTGGATATGTGTACTTAAATGTGCTCAGTTTTGAATTAACTCAAGATTCTCTCATTTTGTCTCCTGAGAAGAAGGTCCTCATTTCTGTTCAGGTCAGAAAACATGATGTTCTAGTCCTGCTTCTGCTGCTAACTACCTGATTGACTTGGAGCAAGTAATTTAAGTTCTTTGTTCCATGGTTTCCTTATTTCTGAAAGGAGACATTGGAGGAGTTAGGCTATATGTTTTTAAAAGTTCATTCTATCTCTTATCCAAAAGAAATCTCTCAAAAGCAAAGATTTACATAAAAATAGCTGTTTCTCAATATTTTAAGGGCAAAAATATGGAAACAAATATCTATCTAGGTGAATTATTAAGTTGCGATAAATGCATAGGCTCATATATAATGCATTAATGAGATAAATTTTTATGACAAAATGAGATATGATAAATGACAATATTCAGAATTCTGTAACATTTTGAAACTCAGCAAAATAATAAAAGAGGAATAATATATAGGAAGGAAATACACCAAGATAATTCCAGTCATTTTTTTGTGAGGTTTTATGTGTGATTTTATTCTTATTTTCATACTTAATATAGAAGTATGAAAGTTTGCCCTGAAGTACTTCAGAAATTGGCCCTAGTTCAGGAAGTATTGGTAACTGCATTATTAGAAATGCCATACTTTGTGTTGTCAATATATCATATCTTTGGTATCAATATATTTTCTAATTTCAAACTGTGAGTTTTGAATTTTTAGAACATCACACTTAAACAGACATTCTTCTATAAAGAAACTGGTTTTCCACTAGTTAGTTTCTAAAAAATAATTTTTGAAAAACTTTGAAACCACCGACTTATATTATAAAATCAGAACTTCCTATGAAAATATCTAAAATCAGAGCCAGCCTTTATGAGGAGGTTAACTAGGACTCATCTTCTCTCCCCGCCCCTCCACCCCCCGGCCCCCCATCTTTTAGGAATTGTTAACCTTAGTGTATAAGTAGGTCGTGTTCTCTAACTCTAAGCATTCCTCTTTTTAGCATTTTTTACGATAATTGCATTTTCACTATTAACTTTTTATCTTGTCTTCCCTAAGAGTTCTGTCTTCCATTTAACCTAGGAATTCCATAGTTTGGACTGTTACAAGAATAAGTACTTTGTCACCTCTTTAAAACTGTGTATCAAACTGCCTAATTCCACAGATGTACTGTGTAATGCCTGCAACACCTGGGGATTAGGATTACTCTCTTAGTTCCAGTTTTGACCCTTACAACCCTAGAGCATCATTGAAATGTATAGGGGTTTGTTGTTTTTTGGGGGTTTTTGTTGTTGTTTACCTAAGGATAATGTTATAGAATCATTTTGTTTAAAGGAGGATTTTGGTGGGCTGCTAAGAATTTATTATGTAAATAACTTTATAACCTAGAATTAAACACCTAGAATTGTGGATAATAAATTTTTTCCTATCAGCAGTGTTTTAAGAGCCTTAATACAAATGGTGTCTTCTTCATGCCAGTGATTCTACATGACTGGATCTTTCATCAAGATTTTTACCTGTTTTTATTACCTTGGGGGACCTGACAGAACCTGTGGTGTATATTTGTATTCAGTTCAGAATGATTTGCTTAATGAATGAGTTTTGTCACATCTACACTATTAAATATTCCATATTCTGTTACTTTACCATCTAAAACCTGATGAAATAAATGTGTATGTTAGCATTTATGGAGCGTCCCCACTGTGTCTTAAGTCAATAAATTTCTCCATGGTTATATTCAAGGTTTCTCTCTCTTTGCTCTCAGGCAGCCCATCAGGTCGGTGAGGATGAGATAAGCTTGTCCACTCTGGGACGAGTTTATACTATTGATTTTAATTCTATGCAGCAAATCAATGAGGACACGGGAACAGCACGTGCCATTCAGAGAAAACCTAACCCCTTAGCCAATACTAACACTAGTAAGTGCCTTTTGAGTTAAAAGTAGTAATATATTGTCATGTGAATAATATTTGCAATAATAATTGTTTCTTTGAGTATCTTTATTAAGCTTAGGTAATTAGTTTGTTGTTTTTATCATGGGTTTTACTAGACAAATGAGTGAATATTTCTTAACCAGTATCTTCCCCATGATCCTTTTATTTTTTACGGAAGTGATTTGCAGTGTCTTGTGCTCTAATCAGAATTGGCCCATGCAGGTTTTTTTAAAATCTGATTCTTTTATCTCTATGCTACCTTTAGATCCACCCACACCAATCAGATTAGTATTTTCCAACCTTTTCTTAAATCATTTCCACCAAAACTCTCTTCTTAACTAATGAAGAATAATGACAGTGATTTTTTTTTTTTTTCTCGGGTGTCTGACATTTATTCCTCTCAGGGATTTAGTGCATTACTTTTGAAGCTCTAGCTTAGAGTGCAGGGGTCAGCAAACTTTTTCTGAAAATAGTAAATATTTTAAGCTTTGCAGGCTATACAGTCCCTGTATTCACTGCTATTGTAACTCTAAAACAGCATCTACAGTATATAAACAAATAAACGTTTGTGTTTCATTAAAATTTTATTTACCAAAATATGTGATGGGCCAGATAGAGTCTTCGGACCATTCTTTGCCAACCTCCAGTTGGAGCTTACATTTCATCAGTTACCCTTTATCTATACCTTATTTCCTTTAAGCAAAATGACAGATCATCTTGTTTTTACATAGTTTCTAACTAAACACTGTCCATTTCTTGAATTCTGTTTCTTTCTTACCGGTGGCTTAGCTGGTTAATGCTGAAAGACCCCCAGTATTTTGTTGAGCATGTGTTAATAAAATGACAGGCATAGTGTAATGGTGCCTTCTTCTATTTAGCTGGCCAGAATGGTGAGTGGTTTTCTAGCCGGCTAAATTTTGTCTTCACAATTCCTTTGGTATCTTTACAGATCCCAGTTGATCACATGAGATAAGTTGATTTGTTTTATAATCAAATATGTTTTAGCATTTCAAAAAGTTACATTGGCTTGAATGCTTTATATTGTTTGTTTCTGATATCTGTAACTTTGGGATCATACTTTTTTTTTTTTTTAATAACAGGTGGATATTCAGAGTTAAAGAAGGATGATGCTCGAGCACAGCTCATGAAAGAGGATCCGGAACTGGCTAAGTCTTTTATTAAGACATTATTTGGTGTTCTTTATGAAGTGTATAGTTCCTCAGCAGGACCTGCGGTCAGACATAAGTGCCTTAGAGCAATTCTTAGGATAATTTATTTTGCTGATGCCGAACTTCTGAAGGATGTCCTGAAAAATCATGCTGTTTCAAGGTGTGTCCATTAAAATAGTGTAAACATTTTAGAAATTCAAATATCTGCACGCAATTTCAGAAATCTTTAAAATAATATGTAATATAGAAAAATAATGCATAAAACAATTTATTTGGAGTATCTTGAGCCCTCTGTTGTCTTTTTATACATACACCTTTGATAAATAATAAAACAAAAGTTGAGCTTTTAAGAAAAGTTTTTGTATTAGTAGAGTAGTTTCATTATTAAAATATTTTGCTGTCGGATTTAAAGTAGTATGGTCAGGATAATTAATCAAATTGAAACAAATGTTTTATATACAAATGCTTTCTTTGTTTTAGTCACATTGCTTCCATGCTATCAAGCCAAGACCTGAAGATAGTAGTTGGAGCTCTTCAAATGGCAGAAATCTTAATGCAGAAGTTACCTGATATTTTTAGTGTTTACTTCAGAAGAGAAGGTAATGTCATTTATAATTAAACTTATAGTCTAAATAGTATTTCAGTAGAAGTATAGTTTTAACAACAGTTATACTGTTAACTTTTTATGTAAGGTATTTTCAGGCTTATGGCTCAAGTATTGCACATACAGTGTCTTTCATAAATCTTTTAATACAGGTTGTGTGAGATTCACTGTTGTTTGAGGAACACTTAGTAAATTTCAGTGATTTAAATGTTTATGGGCCAGAAGCAATAATTGGCTTTTCTTTGTACATTGCTAATTTGCAGCTGCCCAGAAAGATTCCTTGGGTTATTTTCATTTTCAGTTAATCCTGCTAGTAGATCAGAAGAGTTGTAAAGGGATTATTTTATGCTTCATCGTATAGATAATGGTATATTTTAAGGTTTGGAATCTTAGAATGCAATTAGTCCAGTTCTCTAATTTCAGGAATTTGAATGTCGAAATCAGCCCAGGAGACATGATACTTTTCCATTCTCTTTTTGAAGAGTCAAAGATGAAGCTGTATCACTCATTCAGGTGTTTCATTCTTGCCAAGACCTGCCAAGATAATCAAACTCTTTTCTCAACAGAAGTCTCTTTTGATGGCTCTTTTGGTCTTTTAGGATACTTTGGTATTGTGAGGGTAGAGGAAATAATGCTGTTTTTCTCTCAAGTAACCTTTAACTTTGTCTTCCATCTTACCAGCAGTCCTAGTTCTTTCTGCATATGGTCTGTTTTCCATTTTTTGACCACCTTTTCTTAGGCTGGATTCATATTTCTTCACATCTTGAGAATGCAATAGACATGCTAGTGTAATAGTGTTGAATCATAAGGGAGGAGGTTTTCACCCTTTATTATCAGTTCTGTTCAGTTATAACGGGTTTTCAAAAAAGTCTAACACCACATATTTACATGAAATAGAAGGCAGACTCTCTTCACTTCGCAGAGTTAATATCTCTGGTTAATAAATCAAGTGTATATACAAATAGACATTTTCTGTGCTCACATAAACATTTGACATTTGTTTTTGTTTTTAACCTTAGAGAACCCTGTATTTTACATTCCGTATTGTGTTTTTGGCATTCTGTTATTTGTGTTTACTTTCGGTTGTTCTCCATCTTTCTGATTTGAAAGTATATCAGAATCAGTCTTTTTTTCAGAGTGATTTTGGTTTTATTTTGATAAGATCAGTTATGCCATGAGATTGAATTTTCTCCCCCCAATAGCATTTAAATTATGAAGTATATGGAGGAAGTACATGGAGGAATCTTGATTCATTCTAATGCTTTGCATCTGGCTAAGTCCACTGTTCTTTGAAGTTTCACTTAGGTATCTCACTTCTGAAGATCTTACTTTGCTTCTGTAAGATCCTTCTATTCTCAGAGTTTCAGCAGCACTGTATTTTTCCTCTCATAAGAAATTCACTGTTTGTAATATCTTAAAATGGTGTCTTTTACACTAGTTGGTAAGTGCCCTGAGTTCATTTTTTATGTCCATTGGCTGTACCCTTAAGACTGAGCACACAGTCTAGCATGCCGTTGCCACAAATATTGTGGAATGACAGCCTGAAGTTTGAAATAATTTGGACTTTTTTCCTTTTTTGAGAATCTAATGGAAAACTCTGACCTTTTCCTCAGAAAAATGTGAATGTGTGAACATGCACTTAAATGCATTCAGACCCACATCATTGCAAACAGTTAGATAGTTCTTAGACAATCCCCCCATGTACAATACATCCGCCCATGATCTTACCCGGGATATTAACCCCTGCCTTCTAAGTTACTGCTTAGCTCTCCTATACAATTCCAAGGGTATGAAAACCACCACCCTTTTATAGCTGGTGCTCTCTTTTTTTGTCAGTATTGTTATTGAGATCTTGTCTCATTGTAGCATTTGAATTTAACTAATGATTATAGTTCTTTTCTCCCCTTTTGATCAAGCCACACAGGTGCACTGTGGTTCTGTAACTGATTAACGTTTTTATAATGGGCATTTAAAATTTTTAGTAGGACTTTACTTACGACCCTATTAAATTTCTTATGGTCATGTTTTGAATATTAGAAGAAAATTCAGTATAGGTATCTTTGTTAAATTTCAAATTTACCTACTACTTTTCTAACTGAAGTCAAGTTGAAAATCCTGGCACCTAATTTTTTTTCCCCATTTGCTAGATATTTTTTATTCATTCCCTATAAATCAGTGTTAACATTAAGAGATTTAGTAATGATGGAGAGGGTAAAAGTCCTGATTAAAACTGACTTGTTTTAATCCATATTACTATATAGGTGTAATGCATCAAGTAAAACACTTAGCAGAATCGGAATCTTTGCTGACAAGCCCACCAAAGGCGTGTACGAATGGGTCAGGATCCTTGGGGTCCACGACATCAGTCAGCAGTGGAACAGCCACGGCTGCCACAAATGCTGCAGCTGACTTGGGATCCCCCAGCTTGCAACACAGCAGAGATGATTCTTTAGATCTGAGCCCTCAAGGGTAAGTGGGAGTTGTGTGGTGACTTCTGTGCTCTTTGTCTTTGACTCTGCCCTGGTGACTGAGACATAGGCAGAAGAGTATTAGAGTGTATATTTTACATTTTTTCATCTGTATTTTGTTAGATGTTTAAAGGGAATGGGAAGAAAGGTGAACACTTGTTGCAAACCTGTTGTATTGAGCGATGTTTGGGAACCACAAGAGATATGTGGCCCATTTCCATTGAGACACAAAGGAACTAAGGCTCAAAGAAGTTAAATGACTTGTACAGTGTTGCACAATTATTTTACAGATGGAAGATTGAGCCCTCATTTCTGATTCCATTATCTTGAGTAATTTACTGTGTAACATACAGCATACGTACCAGCTTTGAGACATCCAGATTCTGATGTGCTGAAAATATTAAAAATTAGAATTTCTAGGATATAAAGGGAAAAACCCCCTGATTTCCCATCTATAATTGGCAAATGGGAACTTTGCCTTAACAAAGGATATTCTTAACAAAGGATAATGGGGGTTCTTAATTAAAGAAAATTTTCTGCTTCTACCTCTTTATCTTTTTTAAATCCCTTTTTTGTAGTGTGCTACTGAGAATATTGCCAAATCTTCATATTGGTTTTCATTTTGTTATGTTGAAATGAATCACACTCTGAAAGTGTTTTGTTTCTTCGCTGTTAGAAACTTACTGTTATTGCTGTATGAATGGTGCATGATGAACCTAACTCAGTTCTGAAATTCAGAATGTAATCAGGGTATAGTAGTCCTTTTTAATCCTTTTAAGATAAAAAGTAGATCTTGCTAAAGTACATAATGAGAGAGATCTAAAAAATTAGTATTTTAAACTGCAAGGTAACATCGTCTTGTGAACGTAGCCCACTCAGGATCCCAACTGCTTTGGGTGCCACCTGGTGGTAGTTGTGTACCTTAGCTTAAATATAAAATATGGCAATCCTGGGATCTGGGGCACAGACTGGGATCTTTGACACAGTTGTTGATACTTTAGGAAGCCTCTGAGTTTAGGCAGTACCCTTGGAATGGGCCCAGGTGAAGGAGCTTGGACCTTGAGAATACTGGGGACCCTCCACTTTCCCTGTTCTCAAGTTAGAATTGTCTTTGATTCTGCCTTGCAGCCTTGCCTGCTTGTGTGTCCTTCCCAGCCACATTCCCTCCCCTTAGCTGCTACAGTGAACCTTAAGTTATGCAGGGTTTTTACCATATAGCACAGACATAATGCCCATAATACCATAGATGTTTGTTGAAATGCAATGCATTTTAGACAAATGCAGTATTTCCGAGCCATTTAAATTAAGGAATTAGACTTGATTATTATAGATTCTAACAGTTGATAATTCTAAAAAAGGAGTAAAGAATATTTCTTTTAAAGTACTTTCAGAGTTTTAAGTGGTGCCATTCCCTTCCAATATGGCTTCAAATGTAAAGTTTATATGAATCCGTAAAGGCGGAATTGTGCAATCATAGTATTGTTTATTCTTTGAAAATTCACTTGTCCTGTAATGCGTCCGTGAACATGGCAGATGTTAGAAGAATTAAGTTTTTCCAACTTTATTTGGGTCACAGGCCAAATGAACCATAATATATTTTTTTTTCTGTCTTACAGCTTTGTTATTCTAAGACTCTATTGATATTTCAGACTATGTCTAGTGTTGTTGAGAATAGTGAAAATAACACAAATGCTACCCTTTTTTCTATTTAATGTGTTCTAATTCAAAATACGTTATTTGCATTCTCACTTGGTAGATATGTTTATAGGTAATTTTGGTGGATTTTTAAAAAAAAACTACTGACATATTGTAAATGCATTTATTTAGAGTGTTATTTTTGTTGCACACCATGAAATTACTTAGGATAATGTTGGAAAATATTTTGATAATACTAACACTCAGTGCCATGTACTTGTTGCCATTTAGGTTAGGGAAGGTATATGGTACTCAGATTTAACATACTTTGCTAGTTTGTAATTGCATAGTTCTTAATACTGATTCTTCACGTAGACTTGTTTTAGGTACTTTTTCTGTATGTACTGCATTTTAATACAGGATTAATCGGATATTCTATTTGGTTTTATTTTTAGGTTCTATAATCAAACAGCTAGCTATTTTCTGAACTAATCATTTTCTGTGTCTGTACACCTCTAGAACATGGCAGGTGCAGTCGGCATTAAATGATCCATAAACAAAAGATACCCTGTTACGACAATTTTTATAATTCCCTATTTCTGCCATTTTAGCTTGCTTTTCAATGAGTGATGATAATAAATCGTGGTAATTGCTAAACTTATCCCATATTTTCCTATGTGATAGTCGATTAAGTGATGTTCTAAAGAGAAAACGAATGCCAAAACGAGGGCCAAGAAGGCCAAAGTATTCACCTCCAAGAGATGATGACAAAGTAGACAATCAAGGTAATTTCTTTGATGGGGAGGTAAAGGGGGGATGATAGCAGTTAAAAATATGTACTTCATTAAAACTGCTGATAGTTTCAGGTCTCTTGAATACCTAGTTCTTTTAGCTAATTAATGGGAATCTTAAAATTCAGTTGTTTTTTTTAAATAAATTATTCTAAAATGATTTAACTGTCATTCTCTCTTCTTTTCATAGCTAAAAGCCCCACTACTACTCAGTCACCTAAATCTTCTTTCCTGGCAAGCTTGAATCCAAAAACATGGGGAAGGTTAAGTGCACAGTCCAACAGCAGCATTGAACCAACACGAACTGCGGGAGTTAGTGGTCTTGCCAGGGCCGCCTCAAAGGACACCATATCCAATAATAGGTGAAGTGGGGAAGATCTGTATTCTATTCTTAGATTAGAAAATAGCACATTTATTTTATGGAGATGAAGCTTAGACATAGACCTGTAGTGCATGCTCCAAAGTAGTATAGTTCAAGGATGCAGTAGATTCTCAGTTTTTTTTTTTTTTAATCCTCACCCAAGGATGTTTTTATTGATTTTTTTTTTTTTTTTTTTAAGGGAAGGAGGGAGGGAGAGAGGAAAGAAAACATTGATGTGAGAGAGACACATCAATTGGTTGCTTCCTGTACATCCCCCAGCTGGGTATCAAACCTACAGCCTTTTAGTGTATAGGAGGAAGATCCAGCTAACTGAATCCTCTGGCCAGGGCAGATTCTCAGAATTTAAAACCTGCATCTGGACTTGTCTTGAGTTCCAGTATTACGTTTTAAAACCTCTTTTGACATTTAGCTGCTGGGAGTCATGGATGTTCAAAACCAAACAAATTATGTTTCCCATAGACCCTCTTCCTTAGTTATGGTCTAGATATGGGAAAACTGACATTTTCACACTTGCACACACATGCCCTTTTGTGATGCCCTTTCTCCCCCCCCACGACCCCTTACAATGGAACCTAAGGATTTTAGAGGCTTTTTTAGGAATTTAGAAAACTACCAGCTAACCTGTTTTACACCAATATATGGCTTTTAAAAATTATTTATTGACAGTCCTTGAGAATTGTTTTGCTTTTTCGTTCTTGATATAGCATACCAACAAGGATTACTTCCTCTGTAATAGTATAAGAAATTTAAAAATAATCAAATGTCATTGGTTAAAAAAATAAAACAGGCTCTTTTCGTTTGGTTGGTTGGTGGTTTTTCTGAATTTCAGTAAGTATAAATAATAGAGCAAATATATTTCTGAAGCCATCAATATTTGTATTTTAGACAGCCAGATCTCAGTTGTAGTTAATCATGTGCATAACAAGTACTTGTTTTTGGTCTATAGTTATTTACTTTCACGCTCTCCAGAGAGCACAAGGGATAGTGCCAATATGTCTATACCTTAGAAAATAGTCAAGTAAAATCAACTTCAACAGAATGCCTGGGAAACTGCTTCCTTATAAAGTACTGAGAGGTTAGAAGTTTTGTTCACTCTTCATGCAGTGACCTGAGCTGTATTTCAACCACATATGCATTTCTCTAGGTACATCTCAGCCCATTTTTCAAACCAAAACTTAATTTTGTTAATGTGGAGTCTGAATTTATTAGTCTAGAAACATTGGCCAAAGAAGGTTTTATATATAGCAGTTATTTGCCTTTGATCAAGAGTTATAATTGAAATCCTTTCTATTTACACCGAGACTTTAATATCTCATTTTTTCCTTCTTGCAGAGAAAAAATTAAAGGTTGGATTAAGGAGCAGGCACATAAATTTGTTGAGCGTTATTTCAGTTCTGAGAACATGGATGGAAGCAACCCTGCACTGAATGTCCTTCAGAGACTTTGTGCTGCAACTGAACAACTCAACCTCCAGGTAGTGTATCCCATGCATCTTTTTGGTCGTTTTTCAGTATCTTCCAGCACTCTTCCCTCTTGCTGTTTTTTTCTGGCTGTAGCTCTCCATGGATTTGACTCTTGTAGATAGACTTTTTAGCCAGATTATGTGCTTTTAGCATTGCCGTTTCTCTAACTTGTCTCTTGACTTTGGTGCTTCATCATTTTATTATTTAATGTACTAGAAATCTCCTCTTTGACTTTCTTTCCTTAACATTCCATATTTCTTAACAAATAAAGAGACTTCAGAAATGTGTCTCAAGCACATGTTGAAGTCCTTTGTAGCTACTGGTATTAGAGGTGATAGGACCCTCCTTAATCCTCTCTACCTGGGTTCTAATAGTAGTTGGATAGGAGAGGGTAGAGGTTTATTAAGCCTTTTGTATTTCATCTGATTCTTCATCTTTTTACATTTTTTTATATACTTCGAGCAATTTAAATAGTACCTGTTTTTCAAGTAATTGTCCATTCCATTTAGATTTTATGTGTATTAAAGCTGTACCTTGTATCCTTTTATCTTTTCCTTCTGATATTATAGCTATTTATTTCTTAATTCTTATTCTCATTAGTTGAATTGTGAAGAAGTTTCTTTGTTAGTATGCATACTGTTTTTTTCTTATGAAATACTTACCATTTTGTGAATGTGTGTTTAAGATCATATTTTCCAAGATCTACCAAGAAATGCACCATGCCCCTCTCTTTTCAAACAAGGTATTGAGAATGCATTCAGTGTCATTTCATGGAATGTAAATTGTGCATTTAGTAAGAGCCGTTGAAATTAATGTAGAACTACTGTTCTTAACTCTTTCAGGTGGATGGTGGAGCTGAGTGCCTTGTAGAAATCCGTAGCATAGTCTCAGAGTCAGATGTTTCATCATTTGAAATCCAACATAGTGGATTTGTGAAACAGCTGTTGCTGTATTTGACTTCTAAAAGTGAAAAGGATGCTGTGACCAGAGATATCAGATTAAAGAGATTTCTTCATGTATTTTTTTCTTCTCCAGTAAGTTATAGAATAATGCTTGTGTGTCTTATTATAAGAATTATTGTTCCCTGACGTGTATCTTTTTATCCCAGTAGTAATTTCCAGTAAGTTTTGGTGAAGATATTGAGGTCAAGTTTCTAACTTGCCTAATACACAGTTGAATTCCTTGCTATTTTTTATATAAAGTTAACAGTAAAAGAAAATGGCAATTTAATGACGTCAGTGCCAAAGTTTCTGTGGTCAGTTTGTCTTGAGTCTTTGCTTTTTGTGCAAGACAACCGTGTGTGTGTGTGTGTGTGTGTGTGTGTGTGTGTGTGTGTGTGTGTGTAGACAGCACTCATAGTATAGCTATAGTCACAAGATAGAGTAGACATACATATTTTTTAATTTTGTATGAAAACATAGCAGATGATTCTTGACTTAGAATGGAGTTATGTTCCAATAAACCCATTTTAAGTTGAAACTCTCTTAAGTCAAAAATGTATATAACACATCATAACTTCACCTACTGAACATCATAGTTTAGCCTAGCCTACCTTAAATGTGCTCAAAACACAGTATCCAAAAACACTGGCAACGCAGCACACTGCAGGATAGGTTGTTGACCCCCACGGTGGAGCTTTGAGCCGCGGCTGGCTGTCACTGCCCAGCATCATGAGAGAGTATCATACCACCTTTTGCTGTTCTGGGAGAAGATCAAAATTCAAAGTATGGTTTCTACTGAATGTGTATCACTCTTGCACCATTGGAAAGCTCAAAAATCAAGTCAAACCATCTTAATTTGGGGACCATCTGTACTAACAATTCCATTCAAAAGAGCTTAGTCACGCCCTGGCTGGTGCGGCTCAGTGGATTGAGTGCTGGCCTGAGAACCAAAGGGTCACTGGTTCATTTCCCAGTCAGGGCACAGGCCTGGGTTGCAGGCCAGGTCCCCAGTGAAGGGGGTGCATGAGAGGCAACCACACACATTGATGTTTCTCTTCCTCTCTTTCTCCTTCCCTTCCTCTCTCTCTAAAAATAAATAAATAAAATCTTAGGGGAAAAGAGTGCTTAGTCATATTTACAATGTGGATTACAAATCCAGGATTCAGCATAGTTCCCCTTTCTTTACTAAACTTTAGTGGCTGAAAGCAAGAGAAGAACTACTCTCGGACACTTGATTTTACACTACTTTCAGATAAGTCATCTCTAGGGAATTTCTCCCCACCTCATCTGTGGACTAGGGCCAAGGATAACTCATCTGTGTGTTAGTAAAATTACTTCACCATTACTTTCCAGTGTTTGTGGACATTTGAGCATTGCTTATATTATTTTAATTTGTGGGGTTACCTGGAGTACAGTTATTTATTAGTGTGGCATTGGATGTGTAGCAGTATTGGATATAGTATTCTCTTACATTTAATTTAAGATTATATACAGGTGTCATCTCTTAATCTGAAACTCCTTGGAGCTTTATGGGTTTCAAGAGTTTTCAATACTATACATAAACCATATATTACCTGATATCCTCAGTAGATTCTAAACATCTCTTTATACACATTAAATATTTTTGCAGTAAACCGTATGAATATTTCTCCTAAAGGTAAATAAAGACTGCAGGTAACCTTATGTCTAAGTCATGTTTTGCCACCTGATGAGCTATGTTTTCAAGCCTTTTGGACTTAGGAATTATGAATAAGGGACTGTTGACTTTTACAAGGGAGTATCTGTATTGAAATAATTTATTTGGAAACATTGTTTCAATGAATTCATCAAAAAATATGAAAGAGAATAGATGATTTCCTCTTGTAAAACTGCCAGTTAAAGTTTCTTGTTAAGGAGCGTTTCATTTTCAAGAGGCCTTGTTTAACCTGTTGGTTTATTTATAACTTTAGCTTCCTGGAGAAGAGCCCATTGGAAGAGTAGAACCAGTGGGTAATGCACCTTTGTTGGCATTAGTTCACAAGATGAACAACTGCCTCAGCCAGATGGAACAGTTTCCAGTCAAAGTACATGACTTCCCCAGTGGAAATGGGACAGGAGGCAGGTAAGGATCATTGCCTGCGTTTGCTCTTGCCTTTGGACTGTGCTTAATTAATCTTACTGAGCAAAAGTGGCAAGAGGTCTGGTAACGTCTCTATCTGCCTGAAGAATCTCTAGTTGTAATGATTGAAGAAACCCAGTGACTCTTAGCAACTTGTAATATTTTCCTTAAATCAACATACTTTAATATTAAAGCCTTCAAGAATTTTGTGGATATGGAAAATAAAAAATGTATATTCTTTGCAGTAATGTGATTTCATATGTATGTAAGCGCTTATAATTTTTGTTCGGTTCTAACAAGTGTTTATTTTGAGGTTTTGCCTGTTTTATTAAACTTCATATTTTTTCAGTAGTACAGTAGTTTTGTAGGACTTGTGAGGTGTTAGCAAAAATTATTGTAGGAGTTACTTGTGTTTTATATAAAGTTATAAGCTTCCTAGAATATTTTGACTAGAAGCCTGGAAAATAAGAAGTTAGTTTTTAAAAATGGGTTAGTTTTAAAATACACAATCTGATGTGTTTTTAAAACATTCAGAATTTTGGTTGCATTAAAACAATATGCATCATTGAGTAGATAAAGTGATCAATGTGTTCTAGGATTTTTCCTCCTTTGAAATTTAATGTAGACTGGTATTCAGTTTTGATCATTATACTCTACTGGAGTATTTTATAACATAAGGGGACATTTTCAGCTATGCTGAGAATACCATGAAGCTTTCCATTTTTATCCAAATTTATATCGATAGGGATGTCTACATATGTATATATCAATATAATGGGATATTCTTTCCTGTACTCCTATTTGTATGCTTTATGGAGCCTTACAGATAACTGTATTTTAAGCTTGTCTGTATCTTAACTCTTGTCAGCACTTCTCTGAAATAAGCAGTTGAATATCCTACTAGGTTTAGACTAGTGTAGCTGTTAAACTGCTTCATTCAAAAGAACATTCCCAAACTTGTAGACCTGAAACTTACAATTTGTGTGCCAACAATTTTTTTTTAATACAGCAAAATTTTAACGATTAGTTTTTAAAGTAATATTATAGTGGAGATCATTTTATTTTATAATAACTTTTACTAAATTATTTGAATTACCGGTAAGTACTTTATGCCTTAAGAACAGTACAGAGTTTGTATAATTTTGCTTTTATTTGAATTTATGTTGATTTTAAAAATAGTAGAATAACTTTTTTTCACAAATTATTTTGAGCTTTTCTCTTAACAGAGGATCGCAGGCTTTAAAATTTTTCAACACACACCAGTTAAAATGCCAGTTACAGAGACATCCAGAGTGTGCAAATGTGAAGCAGTGGAAGGGTGGACCTGTCAAGATTGACCCCCTGGCTTTGGTACAAGCTATCGAGAGATACCTTGTAGTTAGAGGTACTCTTCATCATTTATGTTGTGTGTTTGTATGCACAGTTGTTTGCATGCATGGGAATTATTTCCCTGTTTATTGCTATTTCTGTTAAAATCTAGCATCAGGAACTTAGGAAATGACAGGAACTTTCCGGTCATTTATTTTATGTGTACTATCTAGAAATAATGTTCAACATAGTAGTGACTTACTGCTTACTCGGGTGATTAATTTTTCTTGTTGGAATGTAGTAGAAATGACATTTTGTATTTGATGCTTGTCTTAGCTCTTTGTGCTTTGTAGGTCAAAGTGTTTTTCTAAGACTATATTAGCTTAAACAGTATAGATAGGCTTTTCTTTGCCATGTAAAATTTGCTAGGAGTTTAACAGCCTTCTTGGGCTCTTAGGGTATGGAAGAGTAAGAGAAGATGATGAAGACAGTGATGATGATGGATCTGATGAGGAAATAGATGAATCTCTGGTAAGGTACAGTTCCTACCTTGTTGTCAGGTATATTTTTCAGGGCCTATAGCTTAAATAGATGCTGTTTTGCTTTATTCAGGCTGCTCAGTTCCTAAATTCGGGAAATGTAAGACACAGACTACAGTTTTACATTGGAGAACATTTGCTACCGTATAACATGACTGTGTATCAGGCGGTACGGCAGTTCAGTATACAGGCTGAAGATGAAAGGGAATCCACTGATGATGAGAGCAATCCTCTAGGAAGAGCTGGTATTTGGACAAAGACTCATACCATATGGTAAATCTCCAAATGATTTTGTTTTGTTTTTCACCAACTTTGACGCTATTTATATCTTTCAGAATTTATATTAATGGCTGATTTGCTTAAGGAGAGCCGACCCTAAATCCTACATTTCATTATTAAAAGCTACTTCTAATATTTTATCTTGTATGTGAGCATGCGTGTGTGCATGGGTTTTGGGGTTTTTTTTTTTCCCTTCCTCATTAAGTTTATTAGATAGAAAACATTCTTGAGTATAACTATAGTATATATCTACTTTTCTAGATTCATTTCAGGTCCTTTTTCTTTTCTTTTTTTTTTTAAAAATACGATTTTAGTATTTATTTTTAGAGAGAGGAGAAGGGATGGAGAAGGAGAGGGAGAGATACATCGAATGGTTGCCTCTCAAACACCCCCAGCTGGGGACTTAGCCCACAACCCAGGCATGTGCCCTGACTGGGAATCAAACCAGTGACTTTTCACTTTGCAGGCTGGCACTCAGTCCAATCAGTCACGCCAGCCAGGGCTCATTTCAGGTCTTTAAATAAGACAAAAATACCTTCATAAGATGATGCCTCTTTAGGTATTAGGAATTTTGGCCTCTCTGAGTCCTGAGAAGCATTTGGATGCAATTTCCTGCCTTGTTTGCTTACATTTAAAGAGAACCAGTCTTCTCATAGCCACCCCTCTACTGTCCCTAGTGGTCCCTCCCAGAGTGTGTTCTCTTCTAGGAAGCAGTGCCTTTGGTAGTTTCCTGAATCTGTAAGTAGGGAGAGAGAGAGGACAGGTCTCAGAGTTCTCTGGGATCTGTGCTTTGCACTTTGGCATGGTAGAATAATTTGTAGTTTTACAATCTGCTTTTGGTTTACTTATACCCCTGTAACTTTAGGTACAAACCTGTGAGAGAGGATGAAGAAAGTAATAAAGATTGTGTCGGCGGTAAAAGAGGAAGAGCCCAAACAGCTCCAACAAAAACTTCCCCCAGAAATGCAAAAAAGCACGACGAGTTGTGGCACGGTAAGTTGACACATGAAGGGGAAGGCCGATTGCTGTGGGCCAGTGTCTTCTGTCTGTAGTTTTAAAGGAGTCAGTTATTTGTATCTAGTAGTATAAGCTTTGAGTAAAATTTAGAAAAAAGTTAAATTACTACTACTGTTTGACTGCTTTTAATTGAACCATTGACTTTAATGCCTAGAAAATGAAAAATTAAGTATCTGCAAAATTAAATTTGGGTATAAAATTGGGAATAACTCACTTCATGAAGAACTTATGTTTGTATGAAGGCTGAAACAAACTCATTAACAGAACACATTCACTAAAGAGGAAACTGGTCACTGACAGGTTGGCCCTTAATTATTATTGTTATTCTTTTTGGTAGTATAATATAGTAATGCAGAAGAAATAAAAAATTTTGCCAGGTAATGAGCAACAGAGTTCAGTAGTATCTACCACATGACTTTTTTTTTTCCTTGGCAGTATTTTCTTCTAGTCTCATTTTGCTGGTTTCCTCCTTCTCTTTTTTATATCATAGTAATAATGCCATAGCATTTGTGTGCGTTATCGTTCCATGGGGGCTCCCCCATCAGGGATTTCCAAACACTAGTGTCAGTTGGTGAAGTTTTCTCTGATCCTCAGAAATAAGGGCATTGTAGCAATTTTTTCTCATAAGCCAAGTTTGTTCTTTATTTGTTTCTATGCTTTTGTTAAAATTTGCCCTTTCTTTGTGCGGTGACAGTGTTGAGATTTTTAATTCCTTTGCTCATTAAAAGTAAATGGCAACTGTTTTAATCCCTCACTTATTTTTATTTTTATGCTACTACTTGATAAAATCTAAGAACAATGGAATCACAACTCCTACTTGGAAACTGTCAGAGTCTATCCTGTCCTAAGCCTTGGATTCAATAATCAAATCTCTTCTATCAGATTTACAGTTTGTGACTATTTGTCTGTTGTATATGGCTGTTTTAAGCTGGGTATAAAATATATAGGAAATTTCTATAACAGTAGATTTAAAGATTTATTTATTTATTTTTAGAGAGAGGGGATGGGAGAGAAAGGGAGGGAGAGAGAAACATCAGTGTGTGGTTGCCTCTTGCGTGCCCCCAACTGGGGACCTGGCCTACAACCCAGACATGTACCCTGACTGGGAATAGAACTGGTGACCCTTTGGTTCTCAGGCCGGCACTCAATCCACTGAGCCACACCAGCCAGGGCTGTAACAGTAAATTTAAATTTAAATATTTGTATTTCTCTCTGGCTGTTAAATCGTTAGCTATTATTTGTGGTATAAAGGAGAAATGCCAATGAGTCAGTTGTTCTCCTTTATAATGTTTATTTGGATATGGGAGGGAAAGTATAAATTTCATAAACCTGGATAAGTTATGTCTAAGATAAAAAAGATGTTCAAGCTATCAATACTCTACTACTAAGATACCAAACATTAAATCTTAGTAACTTGTAGATACTGTTCTTGGCATGATAACTTGACATTGGCTCCATTGGCTTGGCATTTCTAAGTTTGATCAGCGTGTGACTTTGATCTTTTGCCTTCTAGATGGAGTGTGCCCATCAGTATCAAATCCTTTAGAAGTTTACCTCATACCCACGCCACCTGAAAATATAACTTTTGAAGACCCATCATTAGATGTGATCCTTCTTTTAAGAGTTTTACATGCCATCAGTCGATACTGGTATTACTTGTATGATGTGAGTAATGTTGAAGTTTTCCATGATGTGTTGTTCATTTCATGTTATCTCATAGTTTCTGTCTAGTGATTTTTATGAATTTCCTGTTGTTCTACTAGAAACAGAAACAGTGACTCAGTTAAATGCAGAGAATTGGCCCAATGAAGTACAGTAGACTCATCAGAGGGAACCTCTCCCTTTTTCCTCATTCAGGCCTAGGTTTTGGATCCATTCTCTTGGCAGACTTGTAAAATATTCTCTAGCTGCAAATGTATTCAGTTAAGCTACATCATGAAAGTGAACATAATTTTATTATAGTTAAAACTCTTTAGGTATATTTAACTCAAAGTTCATTCAAGTGAAGGTGTATATTAAGTAAAGAATTGGGTGAAAGTTGAATGTGGTCTTTGATATTTATATAATGTAGGTAAGAATAAAGGCATTGGCATTGCATGAAACATTAACTCCCACATTAGTGATTGAGCCAGTACCTGTGGCATGTGGGGTTTGGGGTGTTTCAGTTACGCGTTGTAGAAATTGTTTGGGTTGGGACACGCCAGTGAGAAGCTTTAGATTGTATTTTGGAAACCAGATGGCATCAGGCACTTTATATATTTGGGGATAAAGGAAGAGATAATGAATATAATCCTGATATTTTACTACATGTAGAAATTTTTTTTTAACATTTTACAGAATGCAATGTGCAAGGAGATTATTCCAACTAGTGAATTTAATAACAGTAAGTTGACAGCGAAAGCAAATAGGCAGCTTCAAGATCCTTTAGTAATCATGACAGGAAACATCCCGACATGGCTTACTGAACTAGGAAAAACCTGGTAAGACTATCACTTTTGTAATGATGGCTTTGGGAGTGTTATCATCGTGTTGGTTTTTAATATTTTGTTAAGAAAACATGTAATGTTTAGTGAACCTATTTAAATGTGTTTTGTAACATTGTCATATTTGATCTGTGCTTGCTTACTAGTGTAGCTTTAGCATCCAGACAGACTAGGCAAGCTGGGGGCTAGTGTTCGATCTACTTGATTGTGTATGTCTGTCTATATGAAATAGGAAAGTACACAGGGATGTTTGACTGAGGAGATTCACATCCTCTGCCACAGTAAAATCAGATTCCCAAGGTGGAATTGAATGATTCTCTGAGACTGCTTGGGTCCCGACCTATGTTCTTGGAGACTGTAGAACTGTACTGGTCAATACAGTAGCCACTAGCCACATGTGGCTATTTACATCTAGATTTATTAAAATTGAATAAAATTAGAAATTGAGTTCTTTAGTCACACTAGCCACATACTCACACTGGCCGCCTGTATTGGACACAAACAGATAACATTCAGGTCATCACAGGAAGTGCTCTCGGCAGCTCTGTGTCAAGAACTACCAAAACCATACATCAAAGGGCAGTAGAACCTATCTTAGTTACTGCTGGGTTTGTGTGAAAAGCAGCAGCTGCCTTTTTTTTTTTTTTTTTTTTTTAAATCTCTGAGTGACTTAGGAATGCTAAAGCTAAAAGGAAAATCACAAACCAGTAAAGCCAGGACTTGTGTATATGTGAGATGGGGATGGGGTGGTAGCCCAGTGAGGTGGTGATCAGATTTTAAAATTTAGCTCTCACTAGTCATGTCATACGTCCTAAAGGTCTTTGGGTAGATTAAAGATGATCTTGGATAGACCTGATTTCAGATGTAGAACTTTTAACAGCTGAATTTCAGATTTCACAATGAAAGGCTACTTAATACATTATTACTTACCACTTACAGGTTTTGTGTAAGAATTATGAAGATTCTTCAAAATTAGTTTCCCTAGGCCATTTTTATTGGTTATATTTATAATTATTCTGTATCATATCAAAAACTGTTTCTAATACAGGGTCTTTCATGGTTTCTGATTCTAATTCAGATAATAAATTTACATCGCATCTTTTTACAGCCCGTTTTTCTTCCCTTTTGATACTCGGCAAATGCTTTTTTATGTAACTGCATTTGATCGGGACCGAGCAATGCAAAGATTACTTGATACCAACCCAGAAATCAACCAGTCTGATTCTCAAGATAGCAGAGTTGCACCTAGATTGGATAGAAAAAAAGTAAGTTTCTCCCCAGAATTTTTAAAGATAAATCAAACTGAGCTTTTCTAAAATGATGGGAAAACCAAAAATGTGGTGCATCTAATTATGCCTGCTAGATTACAGGCCTTAGTTACAGTCATCTCTTTGCTGATTTATTTGTTTGTTTGTTTGTTTGTTTGTTTGTTTTAAATCATCTTTTAGCCATATTTTTCTACCAGTCTCTTGGCACTGGGCTCTTGGATCCTTCATTCTTCAGTTAGAGTTCTTTTTCCCAATTTCTGAAATAATTTCTCCAATTCTTTTTTATATTTTCGTTTTCATAACTCATGCCAGGAAAAAAAAACCTTGTCTTTTCTCACTGAGGCTTCCTTCCTTTCTAAATTAGTTACTCAACCTATAACCTCCCTTTTATAATTGATCCCTTATGCATTGGGTAGAACTAATCAGGTCTACTTCATTCCCCTAGCAAATTACTCTAATTGGAAGAGACTGAAACAAATCCTTGATGTATTTCATGACTATAGACCAGTTAGCCCTTGTGTTGCTGACTTCATCTTCCTGTGTTTATAATCTGGGCTCCACATCTGTAGCCCTAAAGCACACAAATCTAAGCCATTTCCATCTGAGACTCAGTCCTACATTTCTGCTACTATATTGCCGTTAAGTTGTGACTTCCCTGTTCTGCCTCTTTCTTGCTCAAGATTCTTCTTCAAGTCTGCCTTCTCAAAACCTTTTCTCCAAAACTTCCATAAGAGCAATTAGTAATGACAGAAAAAAGGAGTAGAAGGAATGAGAAGCAAAAGAAAACTAAAAATTACGTTAAAAAGAAAATCCTCGCTATCTTGATACATGTTATTAGGCTTCCATAAACAATGGTGTTGGTAGAATTTGGAGATCTATCAAGATCTTACTCATTCCCATGAATCTCAGTAGGTGTTTGTAGTAGTGCTTGTAGGATCTCTGCAGATCAGAGCCAACAGGTTCCCAGCTCAGCTGTCGTCTCTGTTCCTATTTCTTCATCACCTACCTATAAGTATACCCAGGCAGATTCCATGAAGCTGCAGCCCTGAGTTGCTTTGAAAACCTTTGGTAAAGTTTCAGAGATTCTTTCTTCTGCATCTTGAATTTTCTGAATTTGCCATGAGCTCAAGATCATGATTACACTTAACATCTAGCTTTTCTTCATGTATGCCAGAATGCTGCTGTCAGTGTTTGTAGCGATGCAGCTACTTCTTAACCTTTTATGAGGTATGCTTTTTAAAAGAAATAGTTTTTTAACAATTGAGTTTATTTATTTTTTTTGCACATCAAGAAATGCAGCCTGTTTATTAAAGTGCGGTGTGAGCTTCATCTCCTCACTTTGCTACTTTATTTTGTAGCGCACTGTGAACAGAGAGGAGCTGCTGAAGCAAGCTGAGTCTGTGATGCAGGACCTTGGCAGCTCAAGGGCCATGCTGGAGATCCAGTATGAAAATGAGGTGAGTTTTGCATCTGTGGACAGTTTTTAGTGTGACTTGTGCCCTTGATAAAATGTCTTTAGAGTTTCTTGGTCCTAAGACAATTGGGAATTACCTAAAATCTGGAGATTTGTTTTAAGTTCTCCATTTTTTACGTTGAAATTGTATAATAAAAGTATTTTTCCTGGCATAAGAGTGAATGTTTGTGTAATCTTTAGTTGATGAAGTAAAAGGATGTTTTAAATGTATCTGTCAAAATGTTTGAACTACATTTGTAAATATTGTATTAGGTTTACTGAGATGCAACTTACATATAATAACTGAACACTTAAGATGTACAGTTGTAAGAGTAGACAAGTATACAGTCTCTAATCACTACCATATGAAGATAAAGAAAAGTGTCTCATCACTACAAAATGTTCTTTTAGACCATTTAGACCACTTCGCAGTCAGTCCCTTCCCTCCATCTCCCCAGTCCCTGGCAGCCATTGATCTGTTTTCTGTTTCTATAGTTTTGTCTTTTTTTTTACAATATCATAATAAATGGAATCATCCATTTGTGTCACTCTTCTCTTAGTATAATGTTTTTGAGATTCATCCATGTTGTTGCGTGTATCAATCTGTTTCCTTTTATTGCTGAGTAATAGTGACAGACCATTCATTATATGTATATACCATAATACGTTTCATCACCATTGATGCACATTTGAGTGTTTTCCAGTTTTTGACTTTTATGAATACTATGAACATTTGTGTGCACGTGTTGACATGTGTTTTTATTTCTCTTAAGTACTTCAGGGTTGAATTGCTGAGACATTTGGTAAAATATATTTGAACTTTAAAAGAAACACCAAACTGTTTTCCATAGCAACTGTCCCATTTTTCATTCCTACCAGTAATGTACTATGTGCATTTCAGTTGCTTTACGTGTTCACGGGCACTTAGTGTTGTTAATCTTTTAAATTTTAGTTACTTGGGTGGGTATTCGTAGTGGTATCTTACTGGGGTTTTAATTTGCATTTCTCTGATGATTTAATGGTATTGATGTATTTTATTATTCTGTATTGTCCGTTCATATATCTCTGGTGAAATGTCAAAGAATTCTGCCCTTTTTCATTGCATTTTATTTTGTCATTGAGTTGTTGAGTTCTTTATATATTCTGGATACAAGTCCTTTATGAGATAAATGTTTTGCAGATATTTTCTTCCAGTATGTGATTTATTTTCTTATTTCCTTATGAAGTATCTTTAAAAGAACGGAAGTTTTTACTTTCATTGAAATTTAGTTTATCTTTCTTTTTCTTTTCTGGTTTGGGGTTTTTAGATCTCAGCAAATTTTCCCTGATCCGTGGTCTCAGCGATTTTTTTCACATGTGTTGTATAGTTTTTAGCTCTTAAACTTGGGTCTCAGTTAAGGTTTTGAGATAATTTTTATATGTGGTATAAAGTAAGGGCCAAGGTTCTTTTTCTTTATTTCTGAACATATGGTATTCAATTTTTCAAGCACCATTTGTTTGAAAAACAAAAACAAAACATACTTTCCCCTATTAAATTACTGTGTCACCTATGTTGAAAATCAGTTGGTTATGAATGTTTAGATTTGTTTCTGGGTTTTCTGTTCATTTTTATTAATCTATATACCCTCAGTTATTGTAGTTTATAGTTAGTGTCAGTCTGTCAGCTTTATTTTTCTTTTTCAAAGTTGTTTTGGATAAATTTTCAATCCCTTGTAATTCTCTGTAAATTTTAGAATTAGTTTGTCAGTGTCTGCAGAATGTCTCACAGGATATTAATTGGGATTATGTCGAATCTTGATCAGTTTGGGAGAGAGCGGATTTTACAGTATTGAGTCTTCCAATTCATGATACAGTGTAGCCTTTCACTTAATTTAGGTCTTATTTAATTTCTCTTAGTATGCTTTATAACAAGCCGAAAGGTCTTTCACACACATACTTTGTTAAATTTCTCCCCAAATACATCATGTTTTTTTTATGGTGTTGAAAATGATACTGTTCTTTTATTTCAGTTTCTAGTTGTTAGTTTATAGAAATACAGTTGATATTCTTTTTAATTTTGTCATTGTTTCTTTGTAATCTTGATAAATTTAATTACTGGTTCTATTAACTTTTTAATACATCATTTAGGAAAATTGTAGACTCAGAGCTTGAGAAACTTTCCTTGTAGCTGGCCATATAGTCAATATTTCAGGCATTGTGAGTCATATGGTCTTTATGACAAGTACTCAGTTTTGCCTTTGTAGTGTGACTGTGGCCATAGACAATACATACATGAGTGAGCATAGCTATATTCCAGTAAAACTTTATGATCACTGAAATTTGAAGTTTATATAATTTTCACACATCGTGAAATGCTATTCAAGATTATTTTCAGCCATCTAATATTGTAAAAACCATTCTTCATTTGCAGATCATATAAAAACAATCAGTGGGCCAGAGCTGTAGCTTGCTGCTAACCCATACTGTGGCTAGAGGTATCCAGACTTTCGGTGTCTCTGCACCACATTGAAAGAAGAAGAGTTGTCTTGGGCCACACATTAAATGCAACGTGACATGTAATCACACATACAAAAAAAACCTCATAATTTTCTAAGGAAATGTATGATTTTGTGTTGGGCCATATTCACATCCATCCTGGGCCGCATGTGGCCCACAGATAGCAGGCAGGACACTAGGCAAACATGTCATCTGTAAAAAAGTTTGCTTCCTTTTTACTCTTTGTCTTTCATTTTTTTTTTGAGATGCTTTTAAACAGCCAGTAGAGTATACCAAAATAATCAAATAATGATGTTCTATATATTTTAACTGAAGTATTGAGTCTCGGGAATACTTTTTCCTCTTTCCCTTAATTTCTTAAGAGTTTTTGGATTTCTGAAACTCTTATGGACATAAAATTGTCAAACATTCTATTATGCTGATTATTTATTTATAATAGCCAACAACTCTGCCCCTCAGTTTTCTTATCTATAAAATGTAGGTTATAGAAAAACCTCAACAGTTGTGCCTGGGCTTACACTACGAAGCATTAGAATAGTGCCTGGCTCATGATAAGTACTGTCTAGATTTTAATGCTATCTGTAGTTGCACAAGTAATTTTAATCATGACTTGGATTTTTCGTTTATTTTTCTCATTAAGACTTAGAAAAGTTAACTTAAGAGTATTCAGTCATCAAAATGATGGGGAGTACGCAGCCCGCTAGGGCTGCAGGCTCTGGTGTAGTTCCTGCATTCAAAGGATTTCAGCGTGGCCGGGGAGACACAGGATAGAGGTACAAACAGTTGTGGCCAATGATTGGTATAGGTACCAAGTGAAGGAGGCTTTCCGAGAAGGAGCACTGTCTCAGGAATGTGTAGGGGAGCCTTTGAGGAGAAGTAAGCTGTTGAGTTAACATCTTAGTGTAAAGGAGAGGGGGGAGTTAAGGGACATAGGGATGTGGCCTGAGCAAAGGATCTGCCTTGGTAGCAAATGGCAGAAGGGAAAGACTGCTCTAGAATTGATGAGAGGGAGAGAAGCTAGAATGGAGGCCTGCCTGCCATAATGAGACATTTGGATCTTCTTTAGAACCTACCCTCATCATGCCACTTGCTCAGAGGGCACAGTTCTTAACACGTTCACGTGCCCAAATTTCTTATTCATAAAATTATTAGACCTTTGCTCTAGGTGACTTGTTTGCCTAGTTTATTTAAACAAACCTCCTACTTTTTTACACCAGCACATTTTTCTTATGCCAGGAATGTCTTCTCTCTTCATGGTTCTGCTCAAATTGCATGTTACCATGTTGGGTCTTACCTGTTGACTCTGGGAAAGATTCCAGGAGCCAATTTCATTGGGGAAGAGAGGGATTGGGAGGAGTGCCCCTTTTATACGAGGGGGATCCCCTAAAAAAACTTGAAATTCTGGAGGGTAGCCCCCTGTAGTACGCGGTTCCCCCACTAGCTGAGTGTTCTAGGAACCCAGCTGGCTCAGTGTACCAGCTTGTGGTGGTGTGAGAGGCTGTGTTCGGCTTTAGTGAATTTTTTTTTTTAAGGCTCTTTCAGTGCATTTGCCCATTTCATGACGGGTGATTTATGCCCACACCATACTGAATGTGCAGCAGTTTTTGACCAAAAACAGCATGGACCACACCCTGCCCCGTGTCTCACCCTTTCTATTCATCCAGTCTCTCCCTGAGTGACTTTTTTGTTTCCCCGGATGAAAAAAAGTCCTCAAAGGGAAACGTTTTGCCCATGTAGAAGTGAAACCAAAAATGGCAGAAGCATTAAAAGACATCAAAGTCAACAAGTTAAAAAAGTCTTAATAGGTGTGTTGCATCAGATGGACAGTACTTTGAAAGTGACTCAAGTTTAAACTTGTAAAAATAAATACACAATTTTTTATAAATAAATTCCAGGCTGTTTGCGCACCCCAGCCCCCCCTCCCCACCCCCGCCGCCATATATGCATAGGAACTTAGGTTGTAAACCATATGGAACCACACAAAGGAGCTAGTGGCCATCAGGAAGACAGTCTAACAACTCTAGAGGAACCCTAATCCAGAGTGTCAGATCAAAATGGGGCTCTGTTTTGAACAGGGATTAGTGGTAAAGCAGGGAAGAGCTAAACTGTCTCTGGACTTAGCAAGTCACCCAAGCGGCAGGGATTGGGGCCGCAAACGACTCGACCTTCTGAGACGGCGGAAAATGAGAGCGTGGACTGTGGAGCCTGGCGTTGCTGCTTCCTGGCTGTATAACACCGGGCGGGTTATGTACATTCCTCGGTCATAGCTCAACAAGGGGTATGAAAATAAAGCTCCTCTCACATGGTTAGAATGATTAAATAAGGGAAACACCTAGAATAGTGTCACATGGTAAATGCCAGTATATAAGTTCAAAAGAAAAAGACTTTCAAAGTTTTCATTAAGGCGAGTTGTCAAACCTTTTTATTTTCCTCTAGTTTTGTTTTTAGAGCATTATGCTTTGTCTTCCTTTAAGAAGCAAGTGAAGCAAAGCCAGAGCACCTACATTTTTAGTGGAGTGGCTGAATGAAATGAAGATCCCTGAAAAGATCAGGTTGCTCTGCGGGGCTGCTGGCTGGCCCAGGCAAGACAGGGGTGAATTGCCCGGGCAGATGGGAGCGGGTCCTCCCACTCTCACAGAGACTTGCTGTGATGAAAGTCTTTGTGGTGATACCCATGTCATTGAATATTCTAAGTTGTCTGTTTTACCTATGGAAATAACAGTATTTGGATAAAAGAAATAGACTGATTTGATCTGTCTCCTTAGTCTAGGATAATTATGCTACAGAGAGAAAGGGTTAGCTGACTTGAAAGCACCATCTGGTGGATTCCAGATATTAATGCAGTTTTCTTCTTTTCTCTCTGTGCTTCTCTCCCCTCTTTTCCCTTCTTCCTCTCTTCTAATGCCCAGGATTGAATGGAGAACAGATTATACAAAGTCCCTACAGTCATGGAGCTTTTCTTCCCGTTGGGGTTGGGGGTCGAGGCAGACACACAGAAACACACACACACACACCCCAAATGAGATGAACAAAAATAAAATAAGATGGAGCATCATGGGGGGGATTGGATGGTCTAAGGTGACATTTGAGCAGAGGGAGTCATTACTATCAAGTGAAAACCTGGAGGCAAGCATTCCTGCCTGTTGGCAGATGACTGGCTGGATGTAGGAGTCAGGGAGAGAGGAGGGCTCACTTTAGGACATGTGGGCAGTTTTTCCAACCTGAGCTTTTGCTTTGAGTGAGACGGGAAGCCTTGGAGGGTGTGGAGAAATGAAGTGAACTTATGTTTTGCAAGGACCTCTCTTGGCACTGTGAGAATAGGCTGTGAGATGCCAAAGGTTGCTAGTGCAGAGACCAGATAAGATTTGTTGGTGGTAGCAGTTTAGTATATATTTTGAAGGTGGGGCTTACAGTGTTTAATAATTGTTTGGAATGTGGAGAGCAAGACCGAGAAGAGCCACTGATGGCTGCCAGGTTTTGGTTGGATGTGGGCAGAGTGCTCATGCCATTCACTGCTATGCAGTACTAACAAGGGAATGGGTGGGTTAAGAACGCATTACCAGGTCCCCGCAGGTGACTTTCCAAACAGAAGTTGGATTAAACCTTTGGTGGACTGCATCTAATCTTTTAAGGTAGTGTGGATACTTCTTAAAATTAATGATAATGCCTATTATTTGGAAGTACTCTATAGGTGAAATAATAGTCTTGACAGGACTGTGGTTAGATTTAGCCCTACAAACTGTGGTATTAACTTGTCATTAGCCGCATGTCTAACTTGTGGTTTGAGCTGGTAGGGCCTTGATAGAACATGAAGGAATAGTTAAGCTGGGAACACTGCCCCAGGTTCATGTTTCTCATGGAAGAGGGATTTTCATTCAATGCTGTACAGTTATCGAGCTTGTTTCAGAATATCAGTGCCCAGGCCTACACCTGCCAAATCAGAATGTTCAGGACGTGTGTATACTGAGAAGGCTCTCAGGGGAGTCCAGTGCGCCGTGGGGCATGAGAAGCACAGACACACGTTCTGAGGCTGAGTTAGCCTGGTCGGTGCTGGCATGGGTATAGACCTTCCTTTACCAACCTCTGTTAAGTGGCTGGTCTGTGCTCGAGCACTACAGAGGAGGCAGAGCTGAATTAAAGTTACTCTCAAGTCAGATACACAGGCATGTGATGAAATGGTGACAGTGCAGTGCGATGTGCTCTTAAATAGCCAAAATGTAAGTCCTAAGAAAAGGGGGGGTAACTGGGCAGGGAAGGAGGCTTCTCCTGAGGCTGCGGCATCTGAGCTGGTTTCAGTGGTACCACTCAGTCACCAAAGAGAGAAGTGGGGAGAGAGCCATATGCAGACCATGCCGTCTTAGTCACTGAGGGTAAGCTATATAGCTACAAACGCTACTTTTCTCAGGAGGCAAGCTTGAACCGTAACAGGTACAGTGTTAGGGCCAGAGGGAAGAGAGATTATAAAGAGTTGCTGGTTTTTGTTCCAGAAGACCAAGGCTGAAGGAATATAGTATACTCAGGGCAGGTGGGGACATGATCTCTACTGCATCGTGATAAACAGTTCCTGTTAGTATCCACATTGCAGACAGGTTGCCATGTTAAAAAATAAAAATAAAACAGCACAAGTTCTAAAATTTGAAATTGTTCTACTTTTGTTCTTCTGTAGGTTGGCACAGGTCTTGGGCCTACACTGGAGTTTTATGCACTTGTATCTCAGGAACTGCAGAGAGCTGACTTGGGTCTCTGGAGAGGTGAAGAAGTAACTCTTAGCAATCCAAAAGGTGAGTGCTGCTCTCTGAGTTAGTCATTTTGTGCTATGCAGTTCTGGTAAAGGGCTCTTACAGTTCCTTAAATATATTTAACTTCTAACAGAGGACCATACTCCCTAACTTTAATTCATTCCAGCCTTTATTTTCTTATTTTCCAAATAAGGGAGGCCCTTCCAGCTCTAGAGGACTTCATTCCATGATCTATATGATTGTGAGAATACTGAATTTCTTATATGTCCTTAGTTACTAGGTTTTGTTTTGTCTTGTTTTGGGAAAGATCATCTAAAGTTTGGTGACTTGCTCATTTTACAGGAAGCCAAGAAGGGACCAAGTACATTCAAAACCTCCAAGGCCTGTTTGCCCTTCCCTTTGGTAGGACAGCAAAGCCAGCTCATATTGCAAAGGTTAAGATGAAGTTTCGCTTCTTAGGAAAATTAATGGCAAAGGCTATCATGGATTTCAGATTGGTGAGTTTAAGATTATTTGTTGTTCTATAATTTTTTTGTGCCTATCTTCTATGAAAGTACCTAATCTTGTGCACTTAAGGTTTTGTTTTTAAAACAGTGCTTCACAGACTTTAATAAGTGTGTATGAAATAATTGTGGATGTGTTTTTCTTTTCTTTTTTTTTTTTTTTTTACAAAAGCCAATTCTGATTCAGTAGCAAGGGTGAGGCCCAAAATTCCACACTTTCACACCAGCGCCCAGGTGAGGCCCAAGTGCCAGTTTGTGGCCCACTTATGTTAGTAGCAGGAGTTCAGAGACTCAGGCAATATTAAAGGTGGTTTTAATTAATGTGTTTCTGAAGTGTTTGACATTAGAGTTTTAATTCAGTAGGAAAGCATGAGTATGTACCTAAATTGCAGGAAATTGCTATTAGAGAGTTGGAATGAAAATAATCCAAGAAAACCAGTAATCACAAAGGTTTGAGTATTTCTGGACTTCATTTCTTTGTCTCACATTTCCTGAGCTACTTTGTCTCTTGATGTTGAGCCCTTCTGAAGAATACATGTCCATCATTGAAAAATCCTTATGTATAGTCATTGTTTAAATGGAATTCTTAAGTACTCTAAATTTTTCACAATATCAGGACCCCCATATTAAATGGGAACAGTTTCATATAATGAGGGAAACAGTTCCTAAATACATTCTTTCCCCTGGAGATTACTTGACCTTTTTTAAGTGTCAGTTACAGAATTGAGGCGATTCTGCAAGCTGTGACTGTTAAAATATTGTGCATATTCCTTTTCAGGTGGACCTTCCTCTTGGCTTACCCTTTTATAAGTGGATGCTACGACAAGAAACTTCACTGACATCCCACGATTTGTTTGACATTGACCCAGTTGTAGCCAGATCAGTGTATCACCTAGAAGACATTGTCAGACAGAAGAAAAGACTTGAACAAGATAAATCCCAGGTAGGCTTAGAGGATGAAACAGTCAAGTGGTGGATAGGTTTCTTTATTGTAGAAAGATGAGGTCTTTTGTTAAGTGGTTTATATTTGACCCATTTATTATTCTATATTAATATGTTATTTTAGGAGAGTTTAAATTTTTTTTTTATCACAACTGAAACATTTTACTGTGGGTAAGATGACCTATATATAATAATAACAGTTGATGAGTAAATGGCTTTATTAGCAAATAAAATAAACTCCTAACTGAAACCAAGGGATCTTATTTATTAAATTTTATATGGGCATTATGTATCTGGGCAGATACTATATCATACTGAATGCTTTTAGTAAGCATGTGAATCGATCCAATTATTCCTAGGACACAATGATCCCCGCCCCCCCCCCACAAAATGTGGCTTAATTTAGGAACAGTCCATTTGTTTCTAGACAGATGTCAGGAAGATATCTTTTTTTTTTTTTCCTTTCTGTTTTTCTTAATTTATTTTTAGAGAGAGGGGAAGGGAGGGAGAAAGGGAGAGAAACATCAATTGGTTGCCTCTCACACATCCCTTACTGGGGACCTGGCCCGCAACCCCATCACATGCCCTGACTGACAGTTGAACCAGCAGCCTTTCAGTTTGCAGGCCAGCACTCAGTCCTCTGAGCCACACCAGCCAGGGCGAGTCAGGAAGCTGTCTTTAAAGATCACAGTGGCTGTGCAGTATTTCTTGATAATACATGCTGAAGTTTCTCTGTTAGATCTCGTGGGTACTCTTGAGCTTTATACCATTAATTTATATTCTTTACTAATAGATGAAAAAATCATTTGACTCAGTCTGAGTTTAGTAGTGGTTCTGTGTCTCGTACTAGAAGGCAAAGTTTTATTTTTAAAAAGTGGCACAAACTCACGTAAGCTGATATTTGGGCAGCTAGCTTAGACCAGTGTTAAATTAACTCCCATTAAGAATAGAGACTTGAGATTCTGTAGAATGAAAACATCACATCTCTTGATATAACGGAGAGGAACTTAAAGTAGACAAGTAGGGGTTTTAGAATTATTTTTATCAGGAAAGATGATGATTTGTAAGGGAATTAATCTTAATTCCAATATTAATCAGTAATTGGTAGTTTTGGAAAAATAAGCTTATTGAGGGATATGGCCAAGTCTTTAAAAGAGGCCAAGTCCATGTTTTCCATAGAGTATCTGTTGTTTTTAGGTTTTTAAAACCAGTTAGGTTTACGCTTACTAACTTTGTAAATTTTAAACGACTACCCTCTTACTTAGGATCATCTTTTAGGTAAATAATGGCCGGGAGGTGAGGACCAGGAAAGAAAGTAAAATCATGACTGTTCCAAGTGCTTTACTTAGACTAATTCAAATTAATTTAATCTACCACTACCACACCCAGTGAGATTTAGGCATTTCTCTTACCTCTGTTTTACGCAAGAGAAGCCCAAGGCAGATGGGTTGAGTAACCTGACACACCTAGAGGCCCGGGGGCGGGGCGAGGGGCGGTGGTGCTGGAATTCAAACCCAGGCTGCTTGGCCTGGGGGCCGCAGTCTCATGCATTCTGCACGCTCTGTTATGTGTCCATGTCTCCACTGCAGTTCTTCCTCACATCTTTTGAGATTTGTTCTCTCTTTTAAACATCTCAAGGATAGATACCTGTTGTTAATGGTAGCAGTTTGTAAAGAGAACCTTTGAAGATACTTCTCTTGAGGGAGAAGAATCTTTAGCATACCAGTGATTGCCATGATCTGTAACAGGAGATCGGGGGACCATTCTGAGAGCTTTTCAGTAGGAGGACATTGGAACAAAAGTATTATTTTTTAGTCTTTTTTGCTGAAGAATATTTCAAATGCAAAACAAAAAACCTTCTTTGGTGTCATCAAATGATGCACCTGAAACTGAGACATAAACACGTAAGTTTTGCAGAGACATAAAAGTGAATCTAATCCTCAGCAGCCATATTTTATTGTAATCTTAAATAATGCTGCCACCTTCTGTATTTTGAATTATCAGGAATCCTAAGCAGCTTTCAGTTTCTTCTTAAAATGATTTAATAATCAGCTTGTTTTCATTACAGTGACTTATGCTCTGCACTTGAGTGTTTTGCTTCTAGAAATTTCATATCTAAAGACATTTCCAATCCAGAAACCCATTTCCCTTTTTTCTCCTGTATTGGAGAAGTTCATTATCAGACAGAATTTGCAGTTTTGCTTGTTGGTCTTTCATACTTAATCTTAAAAAAAAAATTGTTTTTATAAAATACAATCTTCTGTCATCTTAAGCATTTAAAAAAGTGAATAATACAAACTACTTTTGATATTTGTTTTTAGAGTGTGACTTGACTTTGTTGAAATCTTTTTTCACCATTGTGCTATTATGTGAAAAGGTATTTGTTATTGTAGGCCTAAATAAAGAACCTGCAAGGTATTCCTTAGATGTGGACTTTGTAGAGAAAAAAAGTTTATTGCTGGTACTAGATAGTGCATTATATGTCCTTATTACTTGTATTTATAATTTCATAACTATGCTGTATTATTTATCATTAGCTATGTACATATATGGAATTAATTAAGATTAACCAAGAATTGTGAAAAGTTTGTCAGCCTCAAGAGACCACACTCTTAAATTGACTATTTTGTAAGGCCTTTCTGTGAAGTATGATTTGAATATGAGCAAATTGGATAGCAAACATCTCATTTTGGAAGAATACTTGACATTTTGTTTCTCTTATAAAGATAATTGGATTCTGAAGTGTTTAAGATTATTTCCTTTGTGATCTCAGTGACTTGTTCATGTGTAGATTATGGCAAAATAAGAAAAAATAGGCTAAGAGGTAAAGGAGCCCATAAAATTTGTTAGCATATCTTTTATTTTATAAACACAAAAACATAATTGAGTGAATAACTGTGCTTGACAACCTCCCTCCCTTTTGTTTAGACCAAAGAGAGTCTACGATATGCATTAGAAACCCTGACTATAAATGGCTGCTCAGTTGAAGATCTAGGATTGGATTTCACCCTGCCAGGGTTTCCAAACATTGAACTGAAGAAAGGAGGAAAGGATATACCTGTCACTATCCACAATCTAGAAGAGTATCTAAGAGTATGTAATTGCGGCGTCCTTTGGGGAGAAGGCCACTGTGGGGATCGCTCTGAAGAAGAGGGAGGGGGCCAGTCCAGTGACGCACAGGAGGTGTCAGCTGGCTGTCTGCATGGACTGGACGGGTTTAAAACCTGTGACCTGTGGAATCATTGCATGAAGTTGACTTTTTTAGGCCTTAACTTCTGTTGGCTCTATTGGAGGACATGCTGGAGATTTCACAATGCCTCACACAGTCTTTAACATCACATTTCACCTTTGGTCACAGTTTACAAAGAAATCAGTGAAAAGGAGCCATCCCTTGTGATCTCACCATATTACATTTCTGTCTCTCTGTCAAGCCAGCTAAGAAGAATCGCTTCTAACACACATGCACACGCGCACGAACTTGTGGGCTTGGCGAGGCTTTTCAAATTACTAGTTCATGGTCCATGACTATATTTGCTAAAAATAAGGGAACAATATTATATTGAATACAAATTGTATTTTAAATTACAGCCCATATAGATTTTATTACTACTTTTTGAAAAGTTTTTTATGGTTTTTCCTGACATTGGGTGGAAAAAGCATGGGGTTCAAGAGGAAGTGCCACCCTCCACCTAGAGAGACCTAACTTTTCCAGCAACCTAACTGTGGGATTTTTGATAGGACCTCTGAAAAATTTTAGCTCTGATTTCTTCATCAGTTTGAGAGAGAAAACAGATAGTAGAGTACCTTAGATACTAATTGATCTACCTAAGATTTCTGTGATGCATAAGTAATGTTTTTAATACTCAATAAGACTGTCTTCTCATACTACCTCCTGCTTTTTCTAACTTTGGCAGGCTAATCTTTCAGTTTACTATTAAATGAAGAGTTAACATCCAGATTGAGGTTCTCTGAAAATAATTTGCAATAATGCTTTTATTTTTCTATCAATGAAAGAAACAGTTTGAAACTTTTATTTGAATATGTCCTCTATTTTTGAACAAAATTGATGACAAGATAATGTTGGACCAGTAACATGCTTTTTGTCCTCCTTTCATTTCATGTGACTGCATTTTCAGGGTTTGCCTTTTTCTAAGTGGAGGCACATGCTGCAGAAGGGTTGGGTTCTAAGAACTGAGCAAAATATAGAACAAAAAATTTTACATTAAAAGCACTAAACAGTTGGCAGTTGTGACTCTTGAAGCACACTCTTTAATTCTCAGTAACATTTTATCCCCTTGAGAAATTCTCACCTGCTTCTCATCTGGTAAGGTAATATATAACTCTAAACCATAGGGATTTTATGTAAATGAATTTTGAAAACACACTAAGTAGAAATGCACATTTATACTTAGTAAAAATGCACATGACCATTTTTTAAGTTTTCTTACTGGTGAGGGCCTGAATTAGAAGTTACCCTGACTGATCTTTTACTTAAGCAGTTCTCTTGGAGATACTTTAAAGACTTAAAAAGTTGTCTTTTTTTTTTTTTTTTTTTTTTTTAAGTAATGTTTCACCGTACTGTGTCACACAGCAAGAGATTTGAAATTCACAGTTTATAAAAGATTTCTCTTTTTTTGCAGCTGGTTATATTCTGGGCACTAAATGAAGGTGTTTCCAGGCAATTTGATTCATTCAGAGATGGATTTGAATCAGTCTTCCCACTCAGTCATCTTCAGTACTTCTACCCAGAAGAAGTGAGTATTTTATGTCTAAAAGAAATGTTCATTTCTAGTTCTGTACCTAAAATTATCTTAGTCAAAGATTCCATTGCTAGTAAAAAAAAAGGAAAAGAAAAGAAAAGAAGATGGCAGAGGGGTGTTGGGAGCAAGGGGTAGATTTTAGGAAAGATAAGATCATTTCCTGAGCAAGGAAGAATATTAAACATTCAGTGTAACAGTTTATACTGTATAAATAAGGTATATGAATTATACAAATAATAACTATAATATAAGTACTAAATATAAGGCTGTGTGACTGAGTAAGCATAGTACTGTTGTCAGCTGAGAGCCCGATGCTTGGTGGAGAATGGGACATAGGTTTTTATGCCACTGAACTTGGCAAGGAGAGCCAGAGTAATGGAGCTGACACTGAGGAGGTTGCGCTGTTGTGTTGTTTTGCTCTGCTCTGTTCTGTTTTGTTTTTTGACTAAACTTCCTGAATTAGATGAGACTTTTGTTTCAGGATAAAAGTTAGTCCTTGAAGTTTTAAGGAAGTGTTGTAAATTACTTAGTTGCCAAATTTAAAGAATACTTTTGAGAATGGAAAACAGTGACTTTGTGTGCAGAGTGTTTTTTAGCTGTCTTAAAATGCAATAAGAAACTCAAGAAACTCTGATTGACATGTCATAGAAGGAGTCTAGAAAGTGTTAAGTTTCCCCAGTTTGGAAACATTTTGGTTTATTTTTTTGAGTCCCAACTTTAGAATACACTTTTCATTGCTGGCTGAATCTGGAAATCTTTGATTAACTTAGCATTTTAATCTCAAATATTTTTTTCTTTATGTCCACTTTGGTTTACTAATTATTGAAGCATTGGTATCCCTGGCACTTTAAGGCACTAAGTATCACCTGGAATTGAAAAGCATCAGGTGTTGCTCCTGGAATTGAATCCTGGTCCCTGCTACTGAGCTTTGTGACCATATCCAAGTAGTTGTATATGACAGTGAGTGATATGTGGTAAATACTAAATTTCATATGCCCTGAGTTGGATTTTCTCAAAAGTATATAGTCATTCTGCAAATGGGCAGTTAAACTAGGGGAAAACGATAGTTTAATTTGAAACTGATGTTATATATTCCAAGGGCAGAAAGGCATTTCTTGCTTTCTAACATTCCTTCTGTAATGATTAGGTGGGTCCCCATATAACCCTAAGCAACTATGTGGCATAAATGTCCCTGTCTTTACAAAATGTGAAAACCTACCCATTTGGCATATCTCAGCTCAGCTTTCTTTTCCCACTTCTCTCCCCAGCTCAGCCCTCCTAGCTCTTGGCTTCCCTAATTCAGTAACCTTGTGATTCCCAAAACCAGGATTTGTGAAAATTTCCTTGGTTAGAAGTAAATTATCCAGTTAAAGCTTCTAAAGAAATGAAAAAAGCTAGGAAAACTTAAATTAGGGGTTTGTCTCAAGTTTTGTTTGAGATTAAAGACTTCTCTAGAACCTAGTTCTTGCAAAATGGGCAGAGTACCTATTCATGTGTAACTGAGGAGATTGAATCTATAAATGTATTAGAAGACCACATTATATAAAGAGGTTCTGCGCAGAAGTCTTGGATATGAAAGTGATACTCTTACTTGATATGTGTAGGCCTTTATATCAGTGTGCTACGAAACAGAACATGTATGCATTTCATTCTGTTACATCTTTAGTAATTCATCACCCTTATTTAAATGCACAGCTGGATCAACTCCTGTGTGGCAGTAAAGCAGACACTTGGGATGCAAAAACACTGATGGAATGCTGCAGGCCAGACCACGGTTACACCCATGACAGGTAAGTACGGATCTGTGAGTTTTTCAGTTGAGAAGTTGGTAGTCCATGTATGTATACAAGGTCTGTCCAGAAGGTATTCAGACATGTAATATGAAAAAGAGAGGCATTTATTGAAGAAGATACAAGAAACATTGTACATGGGACAGTGATACCCCAGCCCCCTTCCAAATAGGCGCCTTGGCACCTCACGCAGTTCTCCTAATCTCCATCAGTTGCCCCATATTTTCCTGAATCTCACCGACAGTCTGGATTCTTTTCCCTTTCAAAGCTGATTTTAGTTTTTGTAAAAGCCAGAAGTTGCATGGCACCAAAACTAGGCTGTAGAGGGGCTGAGTCACCTGGATGATTTGATGTTTCACAAAAAACCTCTGCACAAGACATGATGCATGAACGGACACATTGTTGAGATGAAGCTGCCAGTCCCCAGTTGCGCATAGCTGCAGCTTTCTGAATCATCAAAATAGTTTCCGCAGAGGAATGTTCAAGCTTAATGCAAAATTGGATGCAGATTCGTTGCTCTGCTCACTCAGTCATTTTGAATGTGATGAGCCCTCGCAGTACACGTGCTCACTCAGTGGCATCTACCCCCAACTACTACAGTGAAGTCATTGTTGGCTTATATGCCTTCCAGTCCACTCTCCTGGGCTGCCAGGTTACATTGAGGTCACACAAATTATTCCTGTTACATTAACAATGGCTGGGTTTTTCTGGGACAGACCTCATATATTATAAACAGTAAAGGGGGGGTTATTTTTTTGTCTACATAGTACAGGAGGCTTTATGATATTTTTCTCAAGACTGCAGTTGAGGACCTAAAGGTTCTTTTTCAAGTATTTTTGTGAAAATACGTGGGGAGGAGTAGGGGAGACCCATTACTTGTTTTTATATATAGTTTAAAAAAATCTTATTTATTACAAAAGTAATCATTCCATTTGAATTCTGTCTGTAACAACAGAAACAAATTTGATGTCCAAGTTCATCGTAATGTGAATTCGTATGTAGTCATACTTAAATTTGACAGGCTCTAGCTAATTATGAAAGTCGGCAATGTGGTGTGATTTCAAGTTATATTTTAATATGGTGAAATGATATTATTTTTTTATGTATTTCTCTTGCAGTCGGGCTGTGAAGTTTTTGTTTGAGATTCTCAGTAGTTTTGATAATGAGCAGCAGAGGTTATTTCTCCAGTTTGTGACAGGTAGCCCAAGATTGCCTGTTGGAGGTGGGTACACTGTTGATGTTTGACATTTATTCCAGCCATGGCGGGGGGAGGTGTATGTGTGTGTGTGTCTGTCTGTCTCTGAGAGAGTGAGAAACTTCAGCACCAATAGCAGGGTATTCTTTATCTGATTTAGAATGTCTCTTAGTTATTCCAATATTATAAGGTTTCTAAATTTTGTATTTGTTTAGTAATACATTGAGATATCTACTGTCAGGGAAATTCGTAGGGATTATCTTAAAATACATTGAAGCAGGATAACTATACATGTGATGCTGCTTTTCTAGATAAAATTCAAATTCTTAGACATTTGTACATTATAAACTCTTAGAAGGCACTCTGAAGTCTGATTTTTCCAAAATGAATCCTAATGTTAGTATGAAATGGTAGTGTCTTAAAAGTCAGAAGGCATAAGGGACTGTTTGCCTCCATGTTATACAATGACTTTTTATGGTAGATAAAGCACATACCAAGTTCCATGCACTAAATAAATATATATTGAATATGTAGATTTAATTAGCAAGGAAGAAACAGTACCTCCTGTGTGCTCTAGTATTGTACAGCAAAACAGTGTAGTGTTTTCTGAAGGTAATAGCATAAAAAAGGTATACTTGTTGTTCCAGCTTGATTCCTCTCAGGATAAGAAAGTGTTCTCTGAGCTAGCTGTGTGTACACTGTACACTTACTGAGTTTCTTGGTGTCTCTTCCCTTTAAAACCAGGCTTCCGGAGTTTGAACCCACCATTGACAATTGTCCGGAAGACATTTGAATCAACAGAAAATCCAGATGACTTCTTGCCCTCCGTAATGACTTGTGTGAACTATCTTAAGTTGCCGGACTATTCGAGCCTTGAGATAATGCGGGAAAAACTGTTGATAGCAGCGAGAGAAGGGCAGCAGTCATTCCATCTTTCCTGATCACACCGAGAAATGCATTGTCTGCCTGTTACAGCAAAAGAAAAAAAATCATGATTTCTTTTCTAAATGTATCACCTGAGTCAAGCAAACATGTTACACCTTCTTGTTGTAGGAAAAACGGCTTGCAGGTCATAAAAGAGACTCTTGGTTGATATTCATTAATGGCCCCATGGACTTAAAAGTGATCAGGCCCTAAAACATTGTTGTGATGAGGTTTCTTTAGCAAGTTCTTGTTTAAATTATCATTTATTTGATGAGTGAAGTTTTTAACTTGCTTTGCTGTGTGAAATTTAAAAAAGGGATGTTTTTCCAGGCTGAAACAATAAATGTCGCTGTGCAGTTTAATTCTGGGCTGTGTGTATCCATCTAGCTAAGTCTGCAGTTTTGTTTCCTCCAAAGACAACTCTTGTACATAAGTACAGAAATTAAAGCTCACGCGTATTTGACAAATACAGTTTAGTAGGTTATCTCTGTGTGCTTTTCATTTCCCTCTAATTTTCTCTCCCCACTCATGTATTGTCTGTGCAGCTCACAGTTCTTTTTGTATATGACACTTGGTGGTTACATTTTCATTAGCCATGGGCTTTTATTGTTCCATGTTCTCTCAAATTAAAATATAATTTAAAAGTCAGTAAATTGACACATATTGTCAATATAATTCAGCCTTTGTAACTGGGTGGACTTTCCTTAGAACCTAGTTTTAACATAGTTGTAGGGTGTTACTGGCTTTCTACCGGTGACACACGAGCAATGTTTACATGGTGAGTCTGGCAACTAGAGCCCTGCAGGAGAGGCAGGGAAAGCTCACTCACTCATTTCTCTCGTGTAGGTTGCAGAGTCTGCAGCTTGGGCTGGCTGGTATGCGTTATTCTATGGCCAGAGCATCTTGACTTGCTGTGAAGTTTTAAAGAAAATGAGCAAGTTTCATTCCCTGTTGGAGTAAAAGAATTTTTTCTCCCATGTTCTTGTTTCAAGTTTTTGTTCATAGTCTTCTGCTTTTCTCTTCCCCTCCTTCCAGTGCTAACTTGGGACAAGCAGTTCAGCCTTTGTCTTCACACAGATGAAGCACCTGTAAACAATGCTCTGTCCAGTAGTTTTACATTCTGATTTCTCAAATTTGCAATAATCCATCAGGTTAATGTTTCTACCTAAAAATAAATAATGTTTGCTTCACCTTTTTGTTGATAGTTCTGTGCTGTATGCATAATTTGTGCAGATGTATTTCAACGCAAGTAAATCGTCACATCTCCATGATTCTGCGTCATGGCTGATTTCGCTATTCAAAGAATTTATAACAAGAACTTGAGGAATATAAGATGTGGAGAGAAAATGGGAGGAAATTAATTCCTTCCTAAGGTTCAAAATTAAGCCTGTTGCATAAATTTGAGAGAATTTCCATAATACATTTTTTGAAAATGAGAGGTGAACTCTATTTTTGTTTAATTGACCTTTGAGAAATCAATTTCTTTTGTTTTCCTGACTGTTCCAAACTCTTACTTAATTGACGTAAGCCCCTTTGCTCCCCATCCCACCACCGAAAAGAAACTGAGTGGCTTGTTTTATTTTGATGACTGTCATTTTTCACTTAAACAGCCTTATGTGGAGCATCCCCATAGTGGGTGCTCATCCCCACAGGGCGCATCCTTCACAGTGAACTTAGGCCGTGACCCTGTTAGGTGCGAGGATCTGTAAGAAGAGCTCAGGGCTCTGCCTCCCTGGTCCCTGAAGCAGCTCCAACAAGTGAGAGCAGCTATACTTTGAGGTCAAGGGAGTGGGCTGCATATCTGCAGTTTTTACATAGCATAGGCACCAAACAGTTGAATGAGGCAGAATTGGTGTTACAGAATGAACTGATTTGTTTGCAACTGTTATGATACCTTTTTTACAAACTAAGCACAAAGATTTTTGGGTGAACATAGCCTTTTGTTCCTTTTTTTTACAGGGTTCTCTTGTTGAAATTTAGACACGTCTATAAACAAAGTAATGTTTCATATTAAAATATCTGTATTAGACATTTTATCCATGTTGTGGCCCTGGTAGATTTGGCCTCACTGATGAGCATCTAATGAGTACATACGATGGTTTTTAATCCACTTCTGGAGCTTGAGTGTTTCAGAGTTGGTAATCATCTGTTTAAATGCTTTCAGTCTTTAGCTTACACCTTCCTCCGCAGCTCTTGGTTAGTTAGGGGCAGGAAGACTCTACCCATTTTAAAGCAATCTCTTGGCAGAGGCCTTAATATCGTGTTGTAGGGAAAACGTATTAACTTCATTTGCTGTTATTCCAGTTATGCCTTAAATTTATTTGCTTAGTAATCCTGTCAACAAGCACTAATTTCTAAATATGCTTTACACAATTAGACAATTGCGTAGTGACTTGAGATTTTGTTGTCAGATGTTCGTCAGCTAACACCAAGTATGTGGTGGTGTCATTCAACAGTTACTGGTTTGATCTGCTTTGTGTATGAGAACATAATTTTAACTTTCATTTTAAGGAAGGGAGAGGTAGTTACATGTAATCCCTTCCTCCTAGTACTCCTCCCTTGCCCCAAGTGGATAGTGAAGTCTAGGTAGTTAATCGGGGACAGACATGGAGAAAGTTTTATATGCCTTAGCCAAATCCAGCAGAAACCTTTCACACAGCCAGTCATACCACACTTCTCTCTCTCGTTCTTCAGCTCTGGTTCCCTGTGTTCATAGCGGTAGAGAACTTCCTCTCACCTTTGCAGATTAGAAAGACGTAGTACCTAAAGTTCCTCTTTCCTGCATTTGACATGCATTTAATACGTACGCAGAAAGGCTGTGACCAGTCACTTCCTGAATCTCCCTAGGGCAACCTGTACACAAAGGCCGTAAGGCTGAGGGATAGAGTCCCAACTTCTGCATCCAAGAAATTAGATCCAAGTCTTGATTTCTCCACACAAAGGATTATTGCCAGCGAACTGGAGGTCTGTCTTCCCTCTGCTTCATCAGGTTGTGAGGCTATGCTCCTGATTTTTGTCAGTGAGTGTGAACTCAGGAAATGGCAATGTCGCTGATTTTCCAAGAAAACATGATTAAGAAAGGACAAAGACCTTATCAGTGCGTTCAGAAACCACACCTTTCGGGGGTGTTCTGAATGCTGCTGTCCATTCTCCAATAGCAAAGGTGATCAAACTTTTAATCCATTTATCTTAGTCTTTGGATTTTTTGACCCATTTTTCCCTACTGTATTAAGAATATTGTTTGGAAATGTCATATTCTGTATTTATAATTATCTGAGAAATGCTTTTGTACGAGTCTTAGGTTTGCCATGGCAGAAGCTGGCATACACGGTCAAGGATAACCTAGTAACAAATTACTGAAAATGCTTCCTTTGTTACCTCAAAAGAAAAAAACTCCAGACAAAATAAAGCATTTATATTTCTAGAAAATGGAGGATTGGCCGTTTTCCAAGAATTTCAAGTTAATTCTTATGCAAGAAAAAGTTCTTAACTCTAAAGACTTACCTGCATAAAGGAAACATTCTTCAATAATGGAAGAGGTGTTTTTATTTTTACAACAGGCCTACTCATATGACCAAACCTATAACCAATTGCTGATCTCCTGTGTAAAGCATTTTTTTTCTCTTATCTGAAACAGTGATTTATATGAACTGTTGGAATAATGGAACCTCAAACTACAGATGTGTATGTAAAATTGCATAAATGCACTGACTTCCTTCTCCCTGAATATATTTTTAATAAACAGCATTATCCTACATGGTCAGTTTTATTAAATTATGCACAAATAGTGGATTCTGAGCAGTGTCATGCTTGTATGGGTGGCTTTTGGAAAGCTTCCTATTTCGGTAACAGTCACATGAGCCTTTTTTTAGATAGTGGAAAAAGTCATAAGAGACAGAGCCAGAGGGATGGCCCTAACGCTTACTTGGTGGTGGAGAAAGAGTTATACTTGTTTCTGAGACAGTCCCCCAAAGTAGCGTCTTTGGGGTTGGGCGGTAGCTGTCTGCGTTAAGGCATAGTAGAACCTCAGCTCTTGGGGCAGGCCGTACCAGAGCAGCCTGTTTCACTGGAAGAGAGAGGATTGGTTGAGGAAAGTAAGGGGGATGGGTTTTTGTTTAAAGAGCGATGATTAAATTGAGGGGTATTTTGGCGGGGGAGAGGGGTTCTTTCTTAGAAAGCAAGTGAATAGAATATGTGTGCACATGCCCACCCCACAGGTATATGCCCACGCACAGAGACACAACTCATGTACATTCTTATATACTGTCTTGGTGTAACTGTCTAAGGATAAAACCACATTTTTCCTTTGATGAATCAAAAGGTCTGTAAAGCAACTAAGTCACAGATGAAAAGTGCCACTAAAGACAAGCCCACCCAAGACATGCATGCATGTAAAGTTCATCGTCAGTGCAGTGATGTGTTGCTAATCCTGTGTGTGGGGGTTGGATAGCATCACACTTTGATGCAATTATGACTTGACGTCGGCATGTGAAGGGGTTATACCGAAGTTTTACATGATAGCGGCAGGTGTTGGGCCAGTATTCCTACAGAAAGCACAGTGTCCCTTTCAGACCCTTTGGAGACCAGTGCATTGGCTGGGGGGGGATGTGTGGCCATTTAATTATAACTTACATGCTTACTGTAGAGCCTACAACATTCCTTCCTCTTGTCCTCGGCCAGGTTAATAACCTCAAGTTTATCTGGCCTGTGTTCCCGCCCCTTCCGCTTTATTGAGAAGGGGAGGAAGAGGCAGTGTTGGGGCCTGAAATGATACCATCCCGCCTACGCAAGGGACGCTCAGCTGAGCAGCCCCCGAAACCCGAAATGCCTTTTCTGTCTCCAAGAGCTGGCCTTGGGACTTAGGCAAACTTGATGGACACCCAAGGTGTTCGTGTCTCAAGTTCCCTGCTGTGGCTTCCTGGCCCAGGCCCTCATGGCTGACTGCACTCTGGCAATCAGGTTTCAGGAATAGATTTTAGTGTTGTTTATGTGACTAGGAAGCATTCATTAGGGACGTTATATTAAGAACTTACATATTAAGAAAATTGTGCTAAGGAATATGAAGGCAAGAAGAGGTTGAGATTGCTAAAGGGACGGGTCTGTTTGCATTGACGGACTGTTGCATGGCTGGTTGCCATGGAGAAGCAGGTGGTTTGAAACGATTCTCTAAAATGAAGTGACGGAAGGAAGCCCAGTGTGCTCTGTTTGGTGTTCCCTTTTCCATGAGGGGAGTGGGGCCTCTGTTAGGACCTGTTCCCCCAGTCATTTCTCTTCTATTCCCAAAGTGTGCCCTGATGTCATTTTAGTGACACAGAATCTCCAGCTCTTAGAATCCAGGTATCGCGATAACTTGTCAGAGTGAGCAAAGGGCTTTGTCAATACGTGCTGGGAAGCAGGAAGAGCCCTGGTCCCCCTTCTAGCTAGTCACGACCTCTCATCTCACCAGCTCTTCTCTAGGGGCAAATCACCTCCAGGGGCACGTTTTAGTGTTACTGTTCCTACAATCTGGAGTGTGATTCTTTGAAATGCCTTCCAGTGGCTCTCAGCAAAGGCACATAGCATTTGGGTTGGCACGTTCTTCCTGGTATAGGATGATGGGAAGCATACGGTTCCCCTGGCTCCTGGCCCTGCTGTCATGGCACCTTCTAGTCGTTGTGACAACTCAAAATGCCACCTTACACTTTCAAATATCATGGTGCCATCTCCTGGATGAGAAACAGCAATCATGTGTTGCAGCTTCAGAAAGCTGCATTCAGATTTTACATTCAGCCAATTGTTTTAGTTAGTGACAAGTCAAACTTTTGCAGAACCTATGAGCAGGCACATGGTAAGAAGACAAAGGTAAAAATCACTTAGCTGAACTTTTATCCCTGTTGCATAAATACGAAGGCTGAGGTTTGAAGACTTAACGTGGTTTGCCCCTGTTCCTGAGCTAGTAAGTGGCATCAGACACCCTGCAATGAAAAGGTAGCTGTATCTTTTCCTTACTCTGAGCACTTACTCTGTGCACGGATGCATTTGTGCATGCATGCACATGTTGCATACATGAGTGAACGTGTGTGTGTGTGTGTGTGTGTGTAAAAGAACAATAAGGAGAAAAATCTATTCACAGCCACGGAAAAACAGTTCAGGGTCCACTGCCAGAACCGAACAAAACAGAAGTACTGCCAAGAGCATCGGAGCCATTGAGGCTATAGAGTTATTTGACCTAAATAAAAAATTGGGATAGCTCAAGTTTGAAAATGAATGTGTTCTATATCTTTCCTCTCAGTAAAAAGGGACAAAGCCTCACTTAAGGGTTTATTGAACATTAAGAAAAGGAAAGGAAATAATGTTTTGAGACTAAACAGAAAAAATAGAGGGCAGAGCCCCTTCCCCATTCCCTTCATTCTGGTCCGCACAGAATCGGAAGCTGTAGGACTCAGGCCTTGTCCAGTCTCCTAACCGCCCACTGCCTACTTCCAGCTGGATCCAGGCAGCAGCCCAGGCAGGTGAGAGGAAGGGACGACCTGTGATCCTCCTTGGTAAAAGGTCATTGACAGTATATTTGCAGAGTGTGAAAAGACAGATGCAAGTGGTACCTAGAGAGAATGACACCGGATAAATATATCACTTTCACTGCCTGTAGGAGATGCTTAATATTTTAAAAGCATATTTAAATATTCAGAGGCATTTCTTTTCTCCTTGTGCAGGTGATAAAATGTGCTGTGAATCACACAGAGCTTTAAAAAAAAAAAATAAATGAAAGGATTTGGTTTCCTTAGTAGTTTCAAGTTGGTGTCATTAGCTGGCTGACTGGGTCTTATTCCCTTTTTGGGTGACATCTATTTTGAATATGCGTGTAAGCATTTTCACAGAGAATTCCTTTTATCCTGGTTTATCTGCTCTCTTAAAATAGTTCTCTGATTGATAGTAGGGCGGTTGTCTCAGCAGTCCAGTTTAATTGTCAAAGGAAAGCAGAAAGGAGGAGGAGTATGTAAGCGTCTATTTGGTAACTCTCCGAAACCTACCATCCAGAGCTAGCAATGTTCTTAGCTGTCACCTGGTCCGGCTTTCTCAGGTTTCAGGAGGACAGAGGAGTCAACGAAGTTCAGGGACCTGACCATGTGGCTTGTAAGTGGCAGAGCCAAGGCACCTTCTGTTTCTCAAGCCGTCCTTTAAAAGCTCTGATTATTAAAAGTTTCTTCTCATTTTCTTAAGAACTTTTGCTGGAAAAACATTTTGTATTTAGTTTCCACAGCTGGCTTTTTGAATCTAGTGACAAAAACATTTAATAGAAGTCTTTGCTCTTTTGTTTCCTTATCCTGGGAAGCACAGGTGGTTTATAGAAAATGGCTATTCCTAGGGAGTGTTTCTCTCTACTCCCTCTCCCCTTTCCGCCCCCAGCGTTTGTTATCAGTAATCTCCCAGGAGTCTCTCTGAAGCTACTACCCAAGGGGATGGCAAACATTGTTTTGTTTTATTTTTATCTAACTGGACTTTAATTAAGGTTGAGACGAAATTATACTAAAAGGAGCAGGATATTTCTAGATAGAAAAGCTCACGGAGGTATAGAGTTGAAATCTGCCTCCTTTCCTCTGGTGGCTTTTTATTCTAGTACAGCCTTTTGTAATCGGTCATCCTAGAGAACATCTAATCCTCTTTCCACCAGGTAGCTGTTAAAAATGTGGAAGACAGTCTCCTTTCTACCTCTGCCTGCCGACAGTTTTCTCCTCTGGCTACACCTCCTACATTCTCTTAAACTCCCAGTGACCTTCCCACCCTCTTCCCTTCACAATCCCAGTGTCACTCAATCTCTGGCCCGTACCTGACGTCTTGTCACGTGCGTCCCTTGTTCAAATGGTACTAGTTATACTGAAGCAATTAGTAGTATGGGCTCTGGCTGACACGGACCAGAGAGAGGTGCTCTCTCATTGTGGACACTTTATCTACGTCCGTGGAGCCCGAGATTGTGTTCACTTTCTTGGCTACCAAGTCATCGCGTTAATTAATATTGAACATGTGGTAGATGTTACCTCTCAGTCTATTTCTTTCAGCTCGATGTTTCCATCAGTCCATATCCCATTCTATGTCTTGTCCCTGGGCAGTGAATCAATGCATCATACAAATACTTTTTTCTCTGGGTTCAGGCCGATTTGGGGTCATGCTCTCAGGGAGCGAGTATGGAGGCTGAGCGGCTGGAGCCTGGGGCTCCCCACTTAATGTGTGGACTCTGCCCGCCGCCTGCCTCTCCCCTCTCTCCGGGCGTTCCTGGCGTCCTCAACTTCTGCTCCGGTCACTGCAGGTCCAGAGTTCTCTCTGTCCAGGGTCTTTTTCTCTCCTTGTTGCTGCTGATCTCGCCATTTGCTGGATGGTTCTGCAGAGGATGGGAAAGCGTCTCTTGTGACGAGCAAAAGTGGCAGTGACTGGGGATGGGAGTGGAGGAGGACAAGGAACAATCTGAGGTGTCACCCTCAGAGCTATCAAAGCCCAGAGTCTGGACCTTGCCCCTGGGCACAGGAAACGCACGGCGTAGGTGTTTATCTCCTAGTACCTGCCTGTCCCAGCACTTTGCCCAAGTGCCTTTGCAACAGTGCACCTCTCTGGAAACCTAACACCTCAAACTCTTGGCTCAGAAATCCGCTCTCAGCATCCCGACACATTGCCTGCGAAGACGGCTGTCTCCTCTCATGGGCTCACTTTCTCAGAGATAACACTGCGACTATTATTTCCATTCTGAGCGTTGCTATTTCCTTCCTTCTGCCTGCTTTGCCTTTAGACTGTTGTTCT